ACTTTCTCCTTATTATCGATAGCGCCACAAGGGTAAATTGGGTCATCCTATTGAAACAGAAGAGCGATGCAATACCCTTACTGAAAGCCTGGAAGCAAGAAATTGAACTTGCTACAGGAGTAGCTGTAATTGCTGCCAGAACCGACAATGCACCAGAGCTTCTTCAAGCCGTCCGGGAATGGAAGACTGGTGTGCGATCAGAGGTTACAGTGGTTGTATCGTCTCACCAAAATGGTCCAGCTGAACGCAATATACGCACCGCAGAAACCGACATGAGAGCAATGTTGAAAGAAGCTCATTTACCATTAGAATTTTGGGACGAAGCTGTCGAGCACGACGTATACATTCGAAACCGCACTAGTATTGGCCCAGATGCAAATGGAATCGATCGAAGCCCACTCGAAGCATTTACAGGCACATTACCAGATATCGATACATGCAAGGTCTGGGGGAGTCGATGTTACGCCTATATCAACCCCAAAACCATCCCAAAAGGACAAAGGCATGATAAACTTCGCGACACAGCAAGGGTTGGGATATTCCTGGGATACTCAAAAGACACCACCAAGCATATAAAGGTTTATTCACCAGAGCTAGGTTATACTTACCGCTCTTATCGTGTTACAATCGACGAAAGCTACAAAGGAGGGGATCTGGATCTCAAACTCAGAAACTGTGTAGCTGGATCACAAGGTACCAAGAATATAGAACCTGATCGCAGGCCTCGCGGCAGACCTAAGAATGTCCCTGAATCATCGTCTATTCCAGTCGATCCACCAATATCACCAAATGAAATAATCACAGACTCGATAGAGGTGCGCTTGCCAATACCAAAACGAACAAAGACTGAAATACCACGCTTTGATGAAGATGAATATGGAAATATCCGACAAGTGGCTGATGATTTAACAAGACCGGCAGGGGAAAACAACAAAGAAAGTGATGTTACTTTACCTGATATAACTTCACCACCTGATCATACACCACCGAAGTCAAGGGCACCTGAGGATATAACTTTACCACTTGATCATACACCATCGAATTCGAGTACATTACCTGAGAGTGTATTACCTGATATTGCACTACCTAATGAAACTTTACCACCTACTGCATCTACATCTGCATCTACTTCCACACCACCTTTGAGATACAATCTTAGGAAGAGAAAGAGAAGCGATGACGACGATATAGAAGAACAGAGAGACTCCAAAATCATTCGGGCCTTACTTGCTTCCTTAAATAAGCCAGGATCAGAATCAATTGAGCACGCCATGATTGCCATTCCAAATATTCATCAATTCGAACAGGAGACGAATAATGAAATTGCTTCGAAGATCTTGACTATTTTAGCAGATGCACCAGCAGAAGCTGAGACCGCTCTACCAGCAACGGAAATACTCGGGATCAAGATACCGAATACATATAAAGAAGCAATGGCAGACAAAAAGCACGCGAAAGACTGGCAAGCTGCAATTCAAGAAGAAGTAGACTCATTGGTCAAGAATGGCACTTGGGAAGAGTTCATTTTACCACAAGGGAGCAATCTAGTTTCAACGAAATGGGTATTTGTTGTTAAGACGAAGGATAATAAGGTAGAGCGATTCAAGGCCAGATTAGTGGCTAGAGGGTTCAGCCAAGTTTTAGGTAAAGATTACAACGAAACCTTCGCCCCCACTGTTCGACTCGATACTCTTCGCCTTTTCCTTGCAATTGTTGCAAGAGAGGACCTCGAGTGTTCCCATTTCGATATCAAAAATGCGTTCACCGAATCACACTTGAAAGAAGAAATCTATTTAGCACCCCCTCAAGGTGTTCATGTTCATCGCGGCCGCGTTCTACATGCACTTCGGAGTCTTTATGGGCTAAAGCAAGCTGGTAGAGATTGGAGCCTTCTTCTGAAAGGAGAGTTAACCAAGATGGGTTTCGTACAAAGCCTTGCGGATCCGTGTTTATACACCAATCACCCGCGCCAGCTAATTCTCCTAGTGTATGTAGATGATATTGTTACTGCTGCTGCACAAAAACGAGATATTCAATGGTTTTATCACAACCTTTCTGCTCGATTCAACACCAAAGACCTGGGGGAGATTAGTAAGATCTTAGGAGTGCGCATCATTCGTAACAGATCAGAGAGAGTGTTAACTATGGATCAAGAAGAGTATCTGGATGCAATGCTTACCCGATTCGGGATCTCCCATGGTCAACACACTCCAAGGAAGATACCAATCTCGGATTACAACCAACTACGACCAACGCTCCCAGACGACGAGCTCACTGATGTAAACGAATACCAGCAAGCAATCGGCAGTACGATCCACCCTATGGTTTACACTAGACCGGACATCGCATTCGGTCTCGGGAGATTAGCACAAGCTATGTCTAACCCTGCCAAACATCACAGCGTTGCACTCAAAAACCTTATGAGATATTTGAGGTCAACTATTAAACAGAAACTACGTTTTGGGCCTGGGGGAGTTCAATCAGATATTTGCAAAGAATATGACCTCCTACAACGCACCATCAAAGTATACACCGACGCAGACTGGGCAAGCGATAGAACCGATCGAAAAAGCATCTCTGGTGGGGTAGTAATGTTCTATGGTGGACCAATCTCATGGGCAAGCAAGAAGCAGACATCTGTAGCTACATCTAGTACAGAAGCTGAGTACATTTCCATGGCGATGTTCACCAAACAAGGGCAATGGGTAGCCCAACTCTTGAGGGACTTAGAGCGACCACAGTATATCGGGAGCAACAGCGGAGTTCAAATGCTCGGAGACAACCAAGGAGCGCTAGCGTTAACCAAGAACCCACATCTACACGAGCGATCAAAGCATATTGACATATGTCACCACTTCATTCGAGATCTCACAGAAAAACATCTAGTCAATACCAGCTATGTCAATACAAGTGATATGGCTGCAGATGGATTAACAAAACCATGCGCAAGGGTGATATTTGAGAGATTCAAGAACATGCTGGGGTTTCAAAGAGAGTAAGCTCTTTGGGAGAGTATTGGAAGTTGTGGTATGTGCTCCAAAATCGACTAAATCGACCAAATTGACCAAATCGACCAAAATCACTGAATCCACCCATTTCACCTATTTCATCAGATTCATTGGATTCATCTTACGTCGAATTTATCAAAAAAAAAAAAAAAAAAAAAAAAAAATTAATGATTTCAAGAAAATCACGTGGAATAACAGATAAGCTTAAGGTCTGTTCGCATACGATCGGATTTTGATGGTCTACCATATTAAAACAGTAACCCTACGATCAAGGAATAACGAATTTCGAAGCAATCAGTTATTGGGCGTATAAAAGGAATTTTAAAGAAACTAACTACTGAAGCTGAGAGAGTAAGCTCTCTGGGGGAGTGTTGGAAGTTGTGGCACGTGCTCTAAGCTACTGTGCATATATCACTTCCACTTCGTAGTTAGATTTTACCTTAGTACAATTAATCTACATAGTCAATAATACATGCATTCCACTGGCCTGCTCCTTTATTGTGAACATCTTTTCTAAAATGTAAATATTAATATAAGCTTAATAAATTAGATTCATTATTTGATTTTATATTTATAAGCAAAAGGAATTTTCTTATATATTATTAAAAAATAAGATTAAAGAATTTAATTCTGAATAATATTATTTCAGAATGGAGAGCTTTAGATTTATGACCTTAAAATCATATTAAATTTCTTTTGTTCAGATTATTACTTGAAAATAGTAATAAAGAAGTTCAAAGTTTGAATTCGATTTCAGATAATAATTTTATACTTCAATGGAATATAGATTCATTTTTGATTTGATGGGAAATGCTATAAAAAGCAAATGATTTATGAAAATATATATTAATATTGAAATCTGAAAAAGAAACAGATTTATATGCTTGTCAATTACTTTTTCGAAAGATCTAAAAAGCATTTAATATTAAGAATTATAAAATTATGAAATCTAAATATTGAATAAAGAAATTAGAATACAAATTAGAATATATTATATCTAAAAAAAAGAGGAAGGTTAATACTAGCCTAAATTCGAAGTTTTCTGGGATTAAGGCTATATATCAGGCTCAAATCGAAGCCGATGATTGTAAAATTGATAGGGTGGATTCCAATAGTATATATGAAACTAATACTATAGAAGATTGTATTGTAATTGAATAGTTGTTGAATTATTGAAGTTTAAAAATTGTATATATATATTTTATGAGGTGGCCGAAAAGTGGGGTACTGAACTTATCCCAAAACCTCCTCAACCTAATTCCAATTCCCAAACTCAATCCTCAAAGTAAACCAAAAAAAATCACAATCATCCCACCCACAAAAAGAAACAAACTACCGGAGCGGAAAATCAAGAAACGAAGATTTGAGCGAGTGAAGCCGCATTTTTTTTTTTTGTATTTTGGGGGTTTATCTTGAGAGGAAAATGAGAGGAATGTGGAAGTATGTATCAAGGGATTGGAGAGTAAGTGTATTCTCGTTGCTGTTTAAAGATAAGCATGTTTGACAGAGTTCATAAGCATTTGAAAGGAGAGACGATATTGGATCTAGATCAAAGATTGAAGTAAATGATATTTTCGATTTGTGTTATGAGAGATGATTTGAAGGGTTTTACGATGCAGTATGTACCGTACCAACTGTTGCTCAGATGATCTTACCAACCTTTGGAATTAAGCACCACTTGATTCAGTATAGAATCTTTCAATCACCACGGATCTCTTGATGTAGCAAAGAAATCAAAGATATTTCTACATCATTAGTTCACAATTTCACCAAGTATCCGCGTTTTATACTATGAATGCTCCTCTCGATTATCTGGATCATGTTGGGATACCTTAGGATTTGCATACATATAATATTCAATTTCTCATTTTATTGTACAAATATACGATGCTGCATTTGAGAGAATTGAGATTGATCATCACAATAGGGTGTTTTAATCGTGAGATGAATTAGTTCAGGTACTTTGACATTGTAATTCAATAGTCAGACGCAAGCGAAGAGCAGATGGATTTGAGATGGGATCTATCAAGAGCTTATTCTAAATCGATGACATGGCTGAGATCTGGTTAATACTTACCTTCATCAATCTTAGGCCCCTGTCCGCACCACAAAAACAAGTTGGAAATCCAGTGATAATAGCATCTGAAAATCAGATGAACCACCGAAGAAGAGAAGCAAAGCATCATTCCAACCCAAACCCCCGTTTTTCATATCTTAGCCTTATATTACAGTGCCACCTCATTTCCCCTGCTTTCTTTCATTTTTCCCCTTTTCATTCTCTCTGTTCGCTCTCTCCATGGCCCTTTTAGCCTCCCTATACATCCTCATCCTCTCACTCCCTAATGGCCCGTGTCTCCTCCCATCCGCTGCCTGTTTTAGTAGCGGTAACTGGATTATGGCCGAAAAAGTATCAAAGACTTTTTGGATGGGTTTATTGTGTCTAGCGGCTACTGCTGCGAATGGAAATGTATCTTGACTCGTTTGGGCTATGTCTATGATTCTGGTTGTATGTTAATCAAGGATCTCATATATACATATATATATATGAGAAGAGAGGGGGCTTACAAATTTGGGGAGTGCTTAGATGAAGATGCGGACGCGGATGCAGATGCAGATTCTTGTGGTCTTGAAGAATGTGCGATCTTAGTTTGGAGAGGAGATGAGATTGAACCTTGTGTGTGGGACGCAATAGGTCTCGCTTGTTGAGGTGTGTAGGTGTGTGGAGAGAGTATATCGTTGCTTTCAGTGTCGCGGGTCTGGATTTGACGTTCACCAAGAGCTGTAGAGGAGGAGGCTTTGTTGTTATCCATCGAATGTGACCACGCAGGTATTCTATACAGAGAGGGTTTGCGTCGCATATCTGCTGCAGTCATCTGGGGACGAGAAAATGGAGAAGGACAAGTATGTTTCATCAGTGTAACTGGATGTGTTGGTTGAGAACATGTTGCAGCATTTGATGAAGTTATCGAAGAAGGTTGCACAGGACAGGTATATGTGGAAGATGTAGACATCTTTGTAGGCATGTGACGTAATTCCGGAACTAACTTTGTTTGAATTGAAGGATATGACTCCGGTGCGGTTTGAGTTTTGAGAGGTATTGTTTTGGGTGATACCATTTCTTGCGCGTATCTCTCGCTGGGTGCGTTTCCAATGGGAACTTGTTGCGAGTTGGCACAATTTGGGTCGATGGCACCAAAATAATATTTGCGGTGCCAATTCGGGTCGTTGTTGATATTAGAAAACATTCTTGCTGTTGGATCAATAGATGGTTCCCGCTTTGGAGGTGAGTAGTCTAATGGTTTCCAGGAAAAGTCTTGCCAACCAGGTATAACTGGGCGATGTGGCGAAAGAGGGAGGGGCACTCCTCCAAAGGTAGTTGGCACATTCGGATCTTCTAGAAAGTCCACAAAACCCGTATGTCCATAAACGGGGGCAGTATTCGAGTTAGACGGTAAAAGCTTCGGTCTTGGTAGATACATAGATGCTGAAGACATGTACGGAGACACATGATTTGAATTTTCACTTTGATGCTTTCTTTTTTTTCCATGATCTTGCTCTGGTGTTGTGAAGGTTGTACATTTTGCATAATAAAACGGTGACGTCGGTGAAGGTGACGGAAGAATAGATTTGGCATACCACGGTGGTGGGATTTTGAACGGTATACTTTGAGAAAGATCCGCAGGAGATTTTACGGGTAGCTCTGATTGTGGATCGTTCAATGGCTGTGTAAAGGCATCGAATATGGCGGGTCTATTTATGGGGTGGACAGAATGGCATCGAGCTCTGTTCATCTCATCGGGTTCAGTGCAATGATCAAGCAGAGGAGCCATATCAGCTACGAGCTTCTCTGGTGATGGACGAGCGCATACAACTCCGGCACTCGAAATGGGACTAACCGAGCTGGTATGAGTGTGTTGTGACGGAAGCTCAAGCCTAGTAAATGTTTTGCTTAGAATGAGTTTATTGGCATAGGACTTTGTCATACCTTCTGTGCCTTTTCTTCCTTCGTCGAGGGACTGAAAACACAAACTCTACTTCATCATCTGAAGATTCTGGGACTGGTTGCTCCGGTAGGACTCTCCCTGGCACTTGCTGAGTGGTATCACTAGCTGAAATAGATTGATGGTCAACCAAACGGGCTGAATTGTCTGTCAGAGGTACTGAATTACAATAAGGTTCTGAACCGGGAGCAGTTTGAAGCGAGATAGCACTCTGTGTATTGGCCTGTTCAACTTCGGCCATCATGAAGAGGGAGTGGAGGCTTGGAAGTTAAGAACTGTAGAAAAGAAGGAGATATTGAGGATATAAAATTGGGACATAGATCAGGCAAAGACACAAAGGTTGATGGAGAGGTCAATATCTTTATTATACTATCTTACCGTGTTTGATATCAATCTCCATACTAATGGTGAAGGGATCTGCATTGCACAATAAGTAGAACCACCCAGTGCTTGAACATGCATCTTGTTTGGCTTGTTCGCTTCCAAGTGGTCATGCCATTGTCCTTTATAAGTTGAAGAATGAGAAAGCTCACAGATCAATGTAAGGTCTATGCATAGTACCTAGTTAGACAAAGAGTAGAGGGATGACAAGATGCTGTGAGTTTTTGATTCATCAGAAATAATATGTTCTTGCGAGGTGAATTATTATGTGCCTACCATACTTAGCAGGCATTTTAGACGCCGAAGCCAAGTTAGCCATACAGGGGACCGATAGCACACGAGCCGCACTATCGGCTAACCGAAGTTTAACCGATACAATCGATAAAGCTCCCGCCAAAGAATCTCCCACTATCTCAATGTCATACCAGACAAATAAACTAACAGGCAGATTCATAAACACATCTGACTTCTTTTGATCTATCACAAAACTATCAACACTGTCTGTCTTTATTATTGAGCCCTTTTACAAGTTTCATAATGGCTGTTGACAACCATAATCCCTTACTTTCGACACAGAAGTCATCCGATGCTGGTCTCCAGGTAGCTCTACATCCCCTGGTTCTCCTCACAATTTCAGACTATATTACAAGACACACTCTGCGACAACAAACTGGACCTGTAGTCGGAGCTCTGCTGGGTCAACAGAATGGTCGCGAAATCACCATTGAGCATGCATTCGAATGTCTGCTTACTACAGAGGAAGATGAAGTAAAGCTATCACCATTATGGTTTGAGGCAAGATTGCAACAAAGTACGTAAAATTTAATTCAAGTGGACAACTTCTTTCATACTGACGTCCCACAGTGAAGGATGTCCATAAAGTCCCTGCGCTTGATCTTGTCGGTTGGTATACTATCATTCCTAACTCTGGACCACAACCCATACATCTTCCGATTCATCGACAAATCCTCTCTATATACAATGAGTCTGCCATTCTACTCGGTTTTCATCCTGAGGAAGTACTTGGTGGCGCAGTTGGTGGAAAGTTACCTCTCACAATATACGAAAGCAACTTTGAGGCAGAGGAAAGCGGCGTGGAGACTGGGGAGGACAAGGAAATGAAAGACGAGGAACCACAACTCAAGCTCAAATTTAAGGAACTCCCATTCACTGTCGAGACTGGCGAAGCAGAAATGATCAGCGTTGATTTCGTGGCTCGTGGTGGAGGAAATGCTACAGCTGTAAATGGTACCAGCAAGAAAGTTACAATTGTGGAAAGTAAAGGCAAGGGCAAAGGTAAAGGTAAAGAAAAGTCCGAAGACTCAGAGACCTCGAAACGCGAAGAAAGCAGTCTATCGCGAGAAGACGAAGAACAACTTGCCTCCTTGACTGCAAAGGCAAATGCTATCAAGATGCTTCAATCTCGAATCAATCTGGTCGCCGCTTACCTACAAAAACTCCCTCCCTCGTACGTGGCCGACGGCGTTGTCTCGGAAGCCGATATCGAATCGAAGGACTTTTCCCCAGTCAATCACTCGATTCTTCGGTCTATTCAGGCCCTTCTCGGTCGTCTCAGTGTTTTGATACCCGCCGACAGCCAAGGTTTCGAACACGAACTCATCTCTGAGAAGAACGATGTCAGCCTCATCTCCCTCCTCAGCGAGCTCACGAAATCAGCCCACGATATCAGAGAAACAGGAAAGAAGTTTGCCGTTGTAGAGAACGGAAAGTCCAGCGGAATGAAACGCCCTGGAATAAGTTGGGGTGACCAAAGTCATCCAATGCGAGAAGTAATGCATGCTGGAGATCTTATGTCATAGGATGGATAGCTTCCCCCCCCCTGATTTCAACGGCGTATTTCGGCTTGGGCGTATGAAGGTATGGGTTGGCATGCAGGTAGTGCGCGATTTACATACTAAAGAAAAGGGAATCTGGCGTACTTGCATGAGGGATTTCAGATTTCATGAGAATGAGAGATACGAATGAACGAGAATTAGATAGGCAATGAAAACCTGACCTGACATGAATAAGAACATGAATTTTCCGCTTGCATATCTTATCTTGTGAGACAACGTCGAGAAGGAAATATGATTTGATGGATTGTTACACAATTGTGTGTTTGACTTTGAAATATAGTCGCACGACATTGTTACCGGATTTAGACACGGATATCTGCATGGTACCCATGTTTGAGAGGTGATTGAGAGACAAAAATCACAACCTTGATGGATAGAAATCGGATTTGCATATTAAATGCGAGGTGGTATGATGGGAAATAACAAATAAGGGTATTGGTGATCGGATATATTAGCTCAAGTCGGCGATAGCTAGATGCCTTTTGAGAATCTTATTATTTGAAGCGAGGTTGAGTCTTTAGGGGAATAGTCTCGGGCTCACGTGGGCTTGAGATCTAATTAAGAAACAAGGTTTTCAACATGAACTAGAATTTGATTGATCAACTGAACTGCAAATATGTTTGATCTATCTATCTCCAGCTTCAAAGCATGACGCCAACCCAATACCAGATATTTTTCTTTCATGGCAAAACACCAAATTCATTCCCTCAACCACTTTCCCAGATTAACCTTCGACTTCTTATCCAAAAGGAAAGGTTGCTAGATCATGTACTTAACAAAGAAAAGAACCGAAGAAGGAAATCATTATATTACCAAAAAAGCCAAACAACTCCATCCTTTCCCCTTGTAGATTTCTACACCTCAATGACCACCTTTAGGATAAGATCTCCGCGCTCATCCATTGTCTTTCCCGCCAACTCAAACGCTTGTTTTGCATTTCCCAGGCCTTTAAGCCGATGCGTAACCATGTTGTCTAAGCTCGGAAGACCCCCTTTCTTCCCGCTAGCGCCTAATATTCGGATACCGGTCAGATACGTATTTGCATATCTGAAGACGCCTAGAATATCTACTTCGCGGAGATGAGCAGCGGAGAGAGGGAGCGTTTGGATGGGTGTTCCCATGCCGACCATGATTACTTTTCCACCCGGTTTGGTGCTGTAGATGGCGGTTTGCATGCAAATTTCCTTGCCAGTGCACTCAAAGGTTATGTCAGCTCCTTCGTGGTCGTCTTCGGCGAGATTGTCATCTGGGGATGAGATGGACAAAATATCGGAAGCACTACATTTTGCGGAGTTGAGACCATCGGAGATGGTGGAATAGGAAGAGATAGGTGTTGTGGTCCCTGAAGCTAGGGAAGGAGTGGAGGTTCCCGAGGAGTGGGCAGTAGAGGGAGCGCTGGAGTTGGAGCTAGAAGGTGGAATCACGTATCCGTGAGTAGCGAAACCGTGGTCGAGGGCGTATTGGACCCGGTTAGCGGAGATGTCGGTTATTGTTACAATAGGGCAGCCAGATTGACGAGCCATGGCAGCGACGAGGAGGCCTACTGCTCCAGCCTGATGATATTTTAGCAAACCCATCAAGACTAAATGAGTGAAATCTGTGATGTTTGAGGCTAAAGGTATTAATTAAAGCAATGACTTACTCCGATGACAACGGCTGTGGACCCAGGTGTAGGTGCGGCTCGGTTCACAGAATGAATTGCCACGGAAAGTGGTTCCAAAAGTGCAGCAGCGTCGAATGAGATATGATCCGGAAGCCTGGATAATTAATCAATAAGCTGCTTTGCTAAGATTGCCATCATAGAATTCTGGAGCATACTTGTGACACCAAATAGCTGGATGATTGATCCTCTCTTGCAACGTCCCCTGAAAATGAGGTACACTTTTTGCACTACTCCTGAATCTCATCTTCTTGCAAAGGTTATATCTTCCTTTCCTACAGATATCACATTGTCCACATGATATGCCCACCTCAAGGGCGACCCGATCACCAACAGCAAAGCCATTGACTTGGGGTCCAATTCCTACAACCACACCTGAAGCTTCATGGCCAAGAGATAGAGGTGCGCAAGCACATAAATCGCCATTAGCGAACTTTTTGTAATAGCTTACATCGGAACCGCAGATGCCAGTCGATTTGATCTGAACTTGGAGTTCTCCGATATGAGGTTCGGTGATATTGCGAACTTCCTAAGTTTTCAAAGTCAAATTGGGATGTTCTTGATATATATATATATGTATCTGAGTATAGGTGAGATGGATTCCTCTTACCAATCTCACATCTTGTATCCCGTGTAGAACGCTACTAAGAATACTAGACTTATTACTGACGTGGGATGTGACCTCCACGTTCATCACATTTTCATTGTAAGCTGGCGCCATTTGAGATTGCTCTGTATGATATCAAAGATATGAGGTAACAAAAATATCCTCTTAGTGCTCTGACCAAGAAAGAAAAGTGTGGGGGCTTAATAGATTTCTCTATTTTGGCACTTCTCAAAGTAAACCCCCAAACTTATACCGTTTACCTTCCTCCCCTGGAGAAGAGATTGGCGCTCTCCTTGTCAAGTCACATAGCTTGTAGCTATCTACACTATGATGATTCATCCCGATTGCAAGACATTTATCATGCAAATACCTAATCTATCATGTTGCTATCCATCGCGCAGTATGCTCAGAGACTATCAATCCACTGGCGTGTTGCGGAAATGTGTATATCCCATGCATCTGTACCCTGCAGACGCAGGCACGGAAGCACACCACACCTTGATTGAACTTCTGTGCTTCCAGCGGAGTCGGACTTTTGTATTAGGTACCCTCCGCGATTGGAATGAAATACACTTTATTTGAAGTATATCCAAATAGTGAAGATCCTGAAAAGATCGTATGAGGTGTAACGGCAGATAAAAGATACAACATTGCCGGGAAATTTGCTGTAGCTAGACGTTGAAGATAGCTGTGTGGCTAGAAATATATCCCGGCCCCTCACTTGACGCTTAACCTGGTAACTGATACATCGCCCTTCCTTTTGCGTTGTTTATCTGTGTGCAGCGTACATCGTTGAAGTGACAAGACGTACATATCAACTAATGCCTTGAAAAGTCAACAATACATTATACGTGCCGGACATCAAGCTATTAGAGGCCTGGGTCCGATAAGACGTCTAACCCAACCAATCCCACAACTCCATTCGCATCTCTGAGAGAGTGGAGCAACTTAATGAAGCATTGGTTTCCCTAGATAATACGTGATTAGTCGTTACCAAACTCCAGACACGGACAATCATTTTCCTCCATACCCCAGATTCTTCCCAAAGATTCTTCCCAACCTTATTAGATTAACATCGGAGTATCGGTGCAATCACGACAGGAACTCTTTTCGATCGTCATTTTACCCGTCGATGGGTTCTTTTGTGATGGCAAAAGCTGATAGAGATACTGATATCCTGGATGGCGCGTTCCTCAAATTCACGAAAATTTGGTAAGGCTGGTTGAGGTAGCAGGAATGGTATGATACCGATAGGGGATATTCCTAAACGGCGATATTGGGTATTTTATGCCGATAAGCAGAGCCAAGATGTGATATAAAGTTCGTCATGGCACACGTACTGGGTAGATTTTCGCATTTCCTCATCTTTCTTCGAAGATACCCACTTTCACGCAGAATTGAGGTGGCAATGGCGAATTGAGTGGCAGCGAATAAATGTCCAATCCAAGCTGAAAAGGAGCAAGTATCCGAAGGGCAGCCAAAAAAAGAGTAAGAAAAATCAAGTACTTGGGTACAAAGGCAAGAAAGAGTTAGATTATTAGATAATGTAGTTCATTAGCACATGAGCCATAACATCATATGGGCTACTTCAAAAATGCATCAAAATCGAGCTTTTCTTAATATCTATATTTTAATAATTAATTATTATTTTTGAGAAGAAAAATCATAAAAAACCATAATAAAATGAAATATTTATAATATATAAGCTTTTTTTTAGAATGATTCATTTTAGCTCGAAATTATTATACTTTATATTAGAAAAACTCCTTTTCTTAAATAACTTTAATAATAATTAGAAAGTTTAAAAAAGAATTAGATTTTTGAAATAATTGAAAAACTAGATTTAATACAAAAAAAATTAAAGTAATTCTATTAGTTAATAAAGAAAATATACGATTATACACAAACGAATTCTATATGTAAATTGAAGTGGCCTATATGGTGATATAGCCTACATGCTGATGAACCACGTTAGCTTATTATGCCCCTCTTCGGAAGAACGCGGCCCGCATGCCTGATGTTGTGTAAGAATGCATTCTCCCTCCACAACGTCGTATTTTTTAATTCCGGGGGGTATATTGATGTTTTGATCCTACTGGAGAGGATGACATGATGGGAGGGTAGATCGTAACCTTTGATCGCTGAGAGCGTTTTTGTGACGTGGCTAAAGCTGCGCATGTTCTCTTGAAAGAGTCTGCAGAAATCAGATATGTGATACAGAAAAGTTGATCAAATTATTTTCAATGAAGCTTGTGGCACACATTTAATATGATACAAGGAAGTACACTTTTCAAAGGGTGTCGTTGGGTGTTGTACGAACCAAAGGCCTGGTTCGGATTGATTTTGGGCTTGCTTATCCATTCACAGGGGTAATATAAGGTAGTGTAATGTAATGTAATTAATGTAATCATCTTGATTAGCGAAAGATGCTAAAGGTGTATATGCATTTAACCGGGAACCCTGGAAACTTTTCGAGGGTCTAGCTGGTTTGCGGCTCATTTTTAAGTGATATATATGCAATAGGTGCATACTAATCTACGAGAAGCAAACATCTACTGAAGCGGTGAGGAAACTTACCTGGCCATTTTGGATGGTACCCAAATAATCTTGTCAAATAATGTCAAGTACTATCAAAAACATACATCATACCAGTAGCTTAACGGATAAAGTCGCACAAAAATTATTGTATTGCATACACTTTGCATGAACGATACAGATTTTGGGTGATACAATGGGTGTGGCCAGGGTCCTTTTCTCGGATCATAATACCGGGAAAGTTTCTTGCTAAGAAGAATTCTCGGCGATAAACCACTTCATAGAACATTAGCCAATCTCGACGCCGCATTTCTCGCATCAACTCGGTCCTCGTCATCTTCTTCTTTTAAGCCCGGCAATCCACCAGTACTGCCACTGAGCGACCTATCACGACCCACACCTTCTTCTTCGCCATTTGCGCCGTCGGGAGTAGACATGAAACTGCCTGAAATACTCCGGTTAAGTCCATCGGGGCGTCTTGGAACACCAGACCAAGAATCACCTTTAGGACCCTGACTGGCTGCAAGACTGGCTCTCCTTGCTGCGGGGTGGGATTCTCTACCCAACCGGCTAAGTCCACCAGAAGCATCGATCGCTCGTATATCAGGTCTGATGCTTTCCAATGTCGCCAGCGTCCGTCGCTCCGCTTCAATTTCACGAATCACATATTCTCGAATACTTAATCTTAGATCTGCAGCAGTCCGAGCGAACCATCTTCGTTGTTCAAGTAATAAGTTTGCCGTGACACGTTGGGTTTTATTGTGAAGATAAACTTCATTGCTGCGTGCTTCATCAAGTGCTGATATGGCTTCATCAACCTTTTCCCTACGGACAGACGAGCTGGCCTTTAAGCGATCTGCGGCATTAAGCTTGCTTCGTGTTAATTGCTGAGCCTGTAGTAATTCGCGCAGGAGTATGTGTCGGTTCGTGAGAGTTTCTTTGACGATAAATGAATCTTGAGAATGATACTGAAGAGGATCCCCTATGGTTGTGGCTTCAGCAGTACCTTGGGCTGCATGAAAATCTCCTGTGCTTTGAATTGTCTTTCCAAGCTTACGGTATGCATTAGCAAGACCTTGATGAGGTTCTTGGATATTCATTGCGCCCAATTTAACGCCGAAATCGGACTCCGCTAGACCAAGACCTGTATATACATTAGTATTTGGATATTTAGCTGTCAAGTGACAACCTACCTCGTCTTGCTTTGACCAATTTGTCTACCTTATGTCCTGCATCCATTGTTCCTAAGTAAAAGAGCTTCACCACCGGTCTTGCATCTTGTAATTCTGGTGTATCATCGGGTGGAGGTGCAAATTGTTTGATAACTCTTCGGCGAACTCCAGTAGCTGGTTGCTTCCTCTTCAGCATCGGGCTGTATCCAAAATCACTCTCAACAAACAGAACCATCTCATCATCCCTCATTAATACATCATTAGAGCAAACATAATTGAGCCATCTTTGGAGAGACGCCTTGACGCGCGCTTCATCCTCATCAGTGCCAGCACCAGCAGATGTCAACGCGGGAGGAACTGCAGGAACTATAGCTTCCGGATTTGAGGATATTAAATGATCTGCTAACTTGATGAACTCGGAATGCGTTCGTCGGACATCGCGAAATTGTGTTGTTCTAAATTTTGGAAGATTGGTCTACGCAATTAGTTAGCCAAGACCACAGCTACACATTCCTTGATCGATGACTTACGTGTACATCAAATCGCAAGATAGGATCTTTCCTCCCAGTGCGCTCCAGCCCGGTGATCTTTGCTTGCAGCTTGTAATGAGGTGCCGGAGGATGGTGCCCTTGTCGCGCAGCAGAATGATGATATCTCTGAGGTTCCGGCCTATGTTGACCCGTTGGGTACTGTTGCTGTGGAGCTGTGTGCTGTTGATACTGCACAAACCCTTGCTGTGCTTCGGCATCGCTTTGACTTGATTCAACAGTGTCGGGTCTGCGACTTTCGGCATCAGAGACCGATGCACCAGCACTGCTATCAGGTCGATTGAATCCTCCTGTCCCCATTATGTCTTCTTGCGAATAGCCTGCACCGCCTGGCTGATCCGGATTGTATGGTGCCGGTGACACAATATCTCTGGGTGGAAATGTGCTGGATTTTGGATGCTGTGGTGAGCCAGTAGGGGAAGATCCCCATGGAGAAGCGCCCGCAGGATTATCTGCATCATTGATCGAGGCAGAATAATCCATGATGATGGATGGCGCGACCTTTCAGTGTGTAAGACGATAAGCTAGAGTCAACAGAATAAGAACGTAGCAATTATTGGCTCAAAAAGAACTTTTGTATTTAAAGTGGTGCATCTGGGTATTTCATAAACTCGTGGAAAACATGTAGAAAGACGACAAATCAAACAATCAATCAAGGTTGATTGGAGCTTCCACTGAGGTAGGTAGATATTAATAAGAGTTCCCAGGTTCGGCCGCTCCGTGGTCTGGCTTATTCTGCCGTCAAGCTTAGAGCCTCAGGCAAAAATTAGTAATCCATCATCATTCAACCTTGAGTTTCTGAAATCAAAGTACGACGAGCATTTATATCTTCAATTCTTGAGGGGATGGTCTTGTTGGTATCAAAAAGAGGGTGTCGAGTATGGCATCGATACTTGGCACAAGTTACTGGACCTTGTCTGGCTAAGCCTAGTCAATTGAATGCGTTCATCCGTTATAATTCACAGCAAACCGAAAGTCATGATGCGTTAACAGAGACAACTCGAAATATTGGCATCATAGCTCATATCGATGCAGTAAGTTCCATTTGTCTCTTTTGGTATTTTTTCTAATTTCAAAAAGGGCAAAACGACGACTACTGAGCGTATGCTCTATTACAGTGGCTATACTCGCCGAATAGGAGGTAGGTATGATTGCACTGGTCACATGATTACCACGAATACATCTAATAAATCTATCAGACGTTGATGATGGTTCCACCGTCACAGACTTCCTCCCCGCCGAGAGGGCTAGAGGAATTACTATTCAGTCGGCAGCCGTTACGATGCATTGGCCCCCCGTAGCTGAGAAGGATGCATCCTCGAAAGCATCTGGCCTATCTCGATCACTGATATCGCATACTCTTAATCTGATTGATACTCCCGGGCACGCGGATTTTACGTTTGAAGTGCTTCGCTCTTTGAGAATTCTTGACGGTGCTGTGTGTATTCTTGATGGTGTGGCAGGAGTAGAAGCTCAAACAGAGAAAGTATGGAAACAGGCAAATAATTATAGTATTCCTAGGATCGCTTTTGTCAATAAGCTTGATCGCGAAGGGGCTGCCTTTGCGAGAACAGTAAAAGAGATTGGTTCAAGGCTCCGGGGCTGGCCTGCAGTGTGTCAAATTCCATGGTGGGAAGGTGGGAAAGGAAAGTTTATGGGAGTCGGTGATGCAGTCAATCTTTGTGCTCTACAATGGGAAGAAGGTGGGGATGGCAAATCAATTCAACATTTCACTCTTGATCAGTTGAGGATAGATAATCCTGAATTTGCTGAAGAAATTATCAAAGCGCGAGCTGCGCTTGTAGAGGTATTATGCGAATTCGATGAAGGGCTTCTTGAAACCTGGCTGGAGTGTAACGATGACAGTCTGCTTATATCATCGACGGCCATTACAAAAAGTTTGCGAAAATGTGTACTCGACGGTTCCGGTAAGCTCATACCTGTCTTTGCTGGGGCCAGTTTTCGGAACATTGGGGTTCAACCACTCCTTGATGCCATCAATAATCTTCTACCAAACCCTACCGAAAGGCCTGACCCAGAAGTTCGACTTGGAAATATTCATGGCAGTTTATCCCAACTTTTACATGGAAAGCTAGATCTTACCACAGCGCAACCAAGACATCTCTCCAAGAAATCCAATGCGCGGACTTCCCTCATTTCTCAGGTCGAAGCTTGTGCCCTCGCCTTCAAGGTGGTCAATGATCCTCGACGCGGCGTGTTGGTCTACATCAGAGTATACTCCGGTACAATCAAGCGGAACACTACGTTATGGAACACAAATCTTCATGTTTCAGAAAGAGCACAAAGACTGTTACAGATGTACGCATCCGACGCGGTAGAGATACAAAGCATTCCCTCCGGCCAGATTGGCGTCATTGCCGGCTTGAAACACGCTCGTACAGGCGATACTCTATTGTCATATACAGGTGCTCATCCAAAGAATGGTCCGTCAGCACCCTTGAATACCCTTCAACTGAGACCGATCAATGTTCCTCCGCCAGTATTTTTTGCCGCTATAGAGCCTCACAGTCTAAGCGAAGAAAAAAATGTTGCCGAAATATTGCAGCTCTTATTGAGGGAAGATCCGAGTCTTCATGTTAATATTGATGAAGAATCTGGGCAAATGCAGTTAAGTGGAATGGGTGAGCTACATCTTGAAATCGCAAAGGATCGACTCGTGAATGATTTCAAAGCCAAGGCAACCATGGGCAATATCGAAATCGGGTACCGAGAATGTGTCCTTTCTCCAACATCACCTCACAAATATATATTTGATCGTGAAGTTGCTGGGAAAAAAGGAAAAGCGAGTTGCGAAGCTAGTATCAGTCCAGACGAGCAGTCCCTAGAAGACTCTGACCATACTATGAACATTGATGGAAATACAATCACAATCCGCATCCCGAAACCTGTCAAGAATGATGGAGGTGATGGAGCTTTGACACTCCCCTCCGATATGACTCTCAGCGAAGTTCATACAGCATTGATCAATGGAGCCGTTGCTGGTCTAGCCCGAGGTCCACGTCGTGCATTCCCGCTTCATTCTGCGCATGTACTATTAAAGTTTGATACCGCTGAGGATGTTTTTGGTTCCGACACCACATCTGCCGCATTATCTTCTGCGTCAAGAAACGCCGTACAAGCTGCTCTCAAAGAAGCATTCCAAGCGAACTTCATCGGACTAATGGAACCGGTCATGAATGTGGTTATTAGCTGCGATGAATCATCTCTTGGTGCAATTGTGCATGATCTATCATCAGCTCGTGGTGGTCATGTCTTATCACTGGAGAATGACAGTGATGTAGAAGATACAGAAAATGGGCTGCCACCAGTTGATATTTCAAGAGTTTATACCCCTCCAGATCCATTCGCGTCAGGAACCAGCACTGATTCATCAGGTCCTGGTCAGCAGCGTCAAATTACCGCTAGGGTACCATTGAAGGAAATGGTTGGGTATTTGAAGCATTTGAGGAGTATGACTGGTGGTAGAGGAACATTTGTCATGAGCGTTGATAGGTTTGAAAGACTTTCTGGGCCAAGAGAAAAGGCTTTGTAGCGTATACATGAATTATAAGAAGATTAATTAAGAATGATGTACTTTGCATATCTTTGTGTTTATATTGGCACTGTCTCTGTTGTTCTTGGAGATCGGATGTTAATGATCTCCTGTGCTCAATAATCTTTCTTGCTTACATATCCATATATCCTTCCACCGTCTTCTGCGGATCGCATTATCTAAGGATTTGCTGGTTTGAACTACCAACTTGTATTCCGCTTCGCTTTTTTATGGTAAGTAGCATCTCAAAAGTTCGACTGAGCAACCAATGGTATGCCATATAAACCCTTCCCTACTCTATCAATATCACATATCATCTAAGAGCTACCAGTACTACCGCTTTCTTTCCCTACCCGTTCGCATTGCTATATTCGAACTTTAAATTGGTTACATTTTCAGCGCCGAGCAGTCCGTAGTCATCCTGGCTTTATCGCCCGATGCGAACAACATGATGTTCAGCATTTATCTCCCTCCCTCCCTCACAACACAGTACTACCTAATTCCCGCACGACGTGATACCATTCCAAGCCAGAATTCTCTCTACTGGCACCCACATCTTTACTAATAACCAGATTTCTTTCCATCCAAGTCTAGAAACCCGCAAGAACGGAATAGTAAACAAACAAGGAGAAAAAGAGAGAACAAACGAACGAGAGAAGAAACACGAATTAGCCGAGCACTAGTTCAGATATCCCTATTTATGAGCTTTGAGTTTTGGTGGATGATTCAATGCCGACTTAAAACTCATGGTTGTTTTTCTTCCGATGGCGAGATGAGTATTTTATTGCATCCGTGAATGTGAACTTAGAACTACAGATTAACGGATATAATGAATGCCCAATAGATAAATTCACAAGAGTACAGCACATGCAAATACCCAAACCCCTTTTACCCCCCCCTCTCCCCTTTTCAGCATAGACACACATGCAAACCAACCTTAAATTATCCCCAAGTCCACCCATCTCCTACCTCCTCGCTCTTTAAACCACATACACTAAACCCCCCTCCCAAACTCTACTCAATCCCAAAATCCCAATCTTCCAATCTTCCAAACTTCAAATCATCAAACGCTTTCACAAATTCCACGAGATGATTTACCCACCACCACCTACCTCTACCTAAATATACGTAGTAATTACCCTGAATCACCAAAAATTGCCAATTTCCCCGCTCCGCTGTGGGTCTATCGATTGATCCAAAATCAAAACTCATGAACATCATCTCCATCACATCACATTACACTCCTTTCCAGTATCCACGCACGCATTTACGGATTCAAGGAATGATGTATAGAATACCCAGGTAGCGAGGAAAGAGAAGTATCTGTGTATATTTTCACTCCTTATATAATACGAATACGGCACTGGGCATTAGGAATTGAAACAGAAGTTAAGAACTACCTATTTTTCTGACAAAATAAAAAAATTGGATCGCGAGATTGAGGGGATGTGTTTGATTTGATTGATGTAGTTGATAACCTCAAGGGGATTGGAATAAGTTAATCGGAAGAGAGGAAAAAGGAGAAAGAAAAGACTTCCAACAGGATTGATTCCTTTATATCAAGAAGTCCCGAACTCTATAATACCTCGAACTACATATTCCCATCACAGACTCCCTCTCAACATCACAACACAACAAATTCCCTCCTACCTCACTCCTCGCCCCACGCCCCTTTTTCCCTCCCGAAGATCTACCGACCTTCTCTCTTCCCCTCTCCCCTTTCCCCTCCTCTCCCCTCCCCTTCCCTCCAAAAAATATCAAAATATCAATATCAAAACAGAAAGAAAAAAAAACCATGGAACCCGTCGGCGCTCTCCTTATCACCCTCGGCGTTCTTGGTATCGTTGGTCTTGGAATCGGTATTGTTGGGTATTTTCATACTGGGCGTCGATGATGGATTTTGGGGATTAGGGATTTTTGTTTTATTAGTGTGTCTGCATGCTAGAGCATGTAGGTTGCGCTTTAGGGGGCGGTTTGTGTTGGTTTAATAGATCGGGAAGGTGTATTGGGGGTGATGGATGGATGGGATGGGAAATGGGTGTTCTGAGGTGATGCGATGAGGTGTTGGGTTATTGAGAGGAAAGAAAAGAACAGAAAGAAGAAAAGATAAAGAAGAGAGAAGATGTATCGGGCATCTTGTATATAAGGAAGCAAAGCGATACAAGAGTACGCACGCGATGTCGAGTGGAAGGGAAAGAACAGATAGATTTAGGAAGGAAAGGAAAGAAGGGAAGGGAAGGGAGGGATAGAATGAATGAATTCGGCAAGGACAGAGAAGAAGGGAAGGAAAAGAAGGAAAGACAAGGGAGGAAGGCAAGGCAACAACGAATAAGCCCAAGAAAAGCAAGGAACCCAACACAACGCAACAAAACAACCCCCCCCTCTTTTCCACCAACAAACCCATCACCATCACCATCACCATCACCATCACACAAACCAGCCACCCACAAAATCCTAGCTCCCACACATCCATACCCCATAACCCACCCCTAGGATCAAATCTCTCTGGCTAGAATCTTCCTCTCACCCGCTAGAATAGCGAAAGGAAAAAAAATTCTGAAATCTCGAAGAAATCTGAAGAAATCTCTACCGCAAAATCCCCTTTTTTGCTGGGCGTACAAAAATACCGATCGATGCATATATAAAATATAACCAACCTAACATCAACATCAACATCAACATCAACATCAACATCAACATCAACATCAACATCAACATCAACATCAACATCAACATCAACATCAACATCAACATCAACATCAACATCAACATCAACATCAACATCAACATCAACATCAACATCGATATCAACCTCAACCTCCTCACGCATTCTGGAATTGAATTGCCAGTTATCTATCTATCTATCCATCCATTCATTTTATGAATTATCTGCAATCCCAGATATTTGCATTGATGATTTTGAAGATGAGGTATGGGATTTGGATTTGGATTGAATTGGATTGGATTGATTTCGTTCGTCCTTCATAACTAGGGATATAGGAAAGCATGGAAGAAAAAACGAAAAGAAAGAACGAAAGAACGAAAGAAGAAAAGAATCATTCATCGCGACGATGTAAGAAGACTAGCTTTCCTACCGACATACCCTGTCTTCCACTCGAGACTTCGATGATATGTACATGTAGATGCTGATCTCATCGCATCTCATCTTATATCATTCTTAAGAGAGAGTGAGAGAGAATATGATAAAGATTAATTTCAATCTTGCAATTGATGATCTAACGTAGTCAAGTAAAGTCGAGTGTGAATCAAAGATCAAGATCTTCCATCCAATCTAATCATCTAATCATCTATTTATCTCCCAATCCTCTCTATAAATCCCGCACGAAAACGCTCATGGTACTCCCCCAAAAACAAGTACAGAGTAGAGTGGTATCTTCCTTTTTCGCATCCCTGAAACGCCATTCCCCCCCCCTCTCAAAAAAAAACTCAAACTCAAACCCCATCCAACCCCAGATCCAAAATCAAATCCTCATCCACCCCTAAATAACCTCTTCCCTTTCCCACCCCGAAGGTCTCAAACTCTCAATTCCCTTTCCCGGTTTCTCGCTCCTCTCCTTCCCATACACACTGACAAACGGATTGGGATCCTCATCCTGTTTCAAATTTCCCAACGTATGATTCACCTCTCTATGCTTCGCCTCATCCGCACGAATATAATACAGCAGATCTCTCATACTTCGATTTCCCTCCGGCATACCCCAATACTCGACCGCCAAATCCGGGGCTTTGAAATTTGGATCCGCCCACTTGGGGAGATGGCCGTTTTCGAGATCTTGGATGGAGAGGGTATAGGTGAGAACGGCTTCTTCTTCGAGATAGCCGACGAAGCGGTGACAGGTGCGGGGGGAGAAGAGGTAGCAGAGGAAGAAAGAATTGAAGAAGACGCCTTGGGCGCCGAGAATCATGGTGCGCATGAAGATGCCGGGTTCGTACATTTTGAGGAAGGTGAGGAGGTGCATGCGTTCATTGTATGCTAGAATTGAAAAGGTTAGCCATCGATCTCACAAAAAGTTTTATAAACTTCATACAAAGATAGGAAAACAAACCTTCTTCAAGCAACGTTTCAATCCAACCATTATCTCTCTTCAACCCCCTCAAACTCCTCAAATGCCTCAACATACCCGCCACCATCCCTGGGACTCCCGCCACCGATTCCAAAAACACATAACGAATTAGCCATTTACGCTCACTCATTTGATATGGTTTTGTAGCCGTTACTGCATTGCTATCGGATGCTTTCTTGGGCGCTTCAACATTATGTTTATATCCCGTTGCAAAATCCGTACACCACCTCAAGAAACGCACCATTCCTAATGCGACCCGGTCGGAAAAATCTCGAGGTTTGCGGTGTGCAAAGTAGACTTTACTGCGCATTTGTTCGGCGGTGTAGCTATTTCGATATCAGTATTGTGCTCTCAACCAGAAAACCCAAAGAGATACATGAAAGGCATACGGTGGATGAGGCCAAGCAGGTTCCGTTCTCTTAATCTGTCCATGTTCAGGTTCTGGAAAAAGATCTCTTCCCTTTACTTGAATTTTCGAGGCAGATGTGAATGCTCTTCTCGATGGTACATGTGCAGTACATGCATTCGAAGACGATCCATAAGATTGGGCAAAGAAAGCTACAGCTTTTGACAGCTGAGCTGCTGATTGATTTGAGAGGGGTCTTGCAGATACCCTTGATACATACATTGTTGTCATCAAGTATGTAATTGGTGTGTGACTAAGTTGATGCGATGTAATGTGATACAAGCAAGCAGTAGTAAAGTGTAGGTAGAAGCAAAAAGTATTTGAGTGTTTGAATATTTAAAAGTACTACTTATGATTTGCCACAAAGCAGGAGGGAGGACTACTTTTTATTCCACTCGAAAAAAAAAGATATGTATAGCAACAAGTGTATCAAGGATAAGCGTCTAGACAAGCTGACATAGCAAAGAAGAAGATACGGAACGGCAGTGGAAGGCTCAGACCTGTTTCACTACCAATTTTCAAATCGCAGCGAAGAAAATACGGAAGAGCTGAAATTTCTCTTTGTATGACACTTGCTTAACCCAAGGATTTTCGTGGTCGGTGTTGGGTGCACATACTATCAGAGAATAGTGTGAATCAGAGTAAGAAAACAAACAAATGCCAGAGCGGGACTACTAATGAGCTCATACGCATTCTATTTTCACCCGCGAATCCAATCCATAACCTAATATAAACCAGGCTTTAAATTAATCGCCGAGAATAGTAAATTCATCGGAATGCGATATTCAATTCCATCGCTCTGAGTGGATGAAACCGAAAATTAAGGGATTTGAATGGGATTTGAATGGAACTTGAGTTATGTGATATGCGCTCCACCAACCTCAGCCTTGTGGATCATGTGATCACATGATGATAATACACACGGATCTTTGAGGATTTTATCGTAGCGGTTTTTCCCGATCATAGGAGGCGTTGGACCTGAAAGGAATTTTTGGTCATCAAAGGGTCATAGGAATGAAATTTTCGCAAAAATGGCTCACAGTCAAGATAAAATTGGAGACCATAATAACCATGAGCACATTATTGTCAAATTTTATCTTGCGTACAAGGTGCAATACAATTTAGTCCAAATCTTGTCGATTCTTCTCCTAATTCTGTTGACACATACTGATAATATAATATCTGGATAATGAAGAAATCATGATATGTAGATAGACTGTCTCCAAGATGCTCCAAATGTTGATATCACCCCGTCTAGTCTTCATAAAATATCACACAATCGGTCTCCATCTTCTCAGTATTGAGGATTTGGTCGCCAAAATCTCTGCATTAAGATAGTCTCCGAAGCATTCCCGTCGTGGCCTTCATCTAGTTCCCGGTATGAAGGAAACGAAGGTCGAACTAATTGATCACCATGGTCCTCAATTTCATGTTGTTGTTGCAAATCTTGCCGATTCTCAACCCAAGGTTCCTGAACGAAATGATTGTCACTACCCCAAGGGTTATATTCTGCCCCTCGAACATCTTGATATTGGTAGTCGTTGGTTCGAAGATCGATATCGTAGCGAAGTCCGGCCATCTCGTATCTTGACATTGAATCCTGGTACATGTTTGCTTCTTGAGGCCCAAGCTCACGGAGATTACCCATATAACGGCGACTCTCAAGGACGTCTTCCACACCGTAAGACATTCCCTGTTCCGTCTCTAGATCGTCCCAGTTTTCTTCATACGCTTCCATGCCAAAGTGAGGTTCTTGCCCCTCGTAGAATCCATATTCTTCAAGCTTTTCATTCGACAGACCATTCGTAATCTGATCTTTCTCCTGCTCCAGTTCCATTTGATGAACATAAAGTGACGGAACTCGAATCTGGGGTGAACGCAGGGTAGATGAAAAATGATGCCTTGACAGGCCATGATAACTTTCGTGTTCTCCTCTGGGCAGAGACTGAGTTGAGAGTTGCAAATGATCACTGCTTGGCTTGATGTGTGAAGCAGTTTTCAAAGGTGTAAATATTCTGCTGTTCGGATTTGCCGTTCTCACCTCGTGGGTCTGCTCCCCCTCTTCATCTACCAGGGAAATCGGATTTATGCCGATATCACTGGGGATTTCTCCTCGTCTACTAGATCGAATCTGTTGATCATGCTGGAATTGGGAGTTCGTCTGTTCGGATACTTGTGGCTCAACTATGACATTCGCTAGTCTCTCCCTGTCATTAGTAGGCGATGTATTCCTGCTCATATCTCCCTCCTCTCCTGATGGCTGGACAGGAGCAGATTCTGTTCGCTGTATTCCTTTTCGAGAGATGATAGACATTGACGAAAGGGATTTTTCTCGACTTTCGTCGCTAGCTTCCCGGATTACTGGAAGGGTGGTTGATGGGCGTCTAATTTTGGCATTGCTTGCCATTTGTTGTCGGGTAAGTGGTGTTGCCGTAAGTACAGTCGTTTGCTTCGAATGATGTTCTGGTGATTTTGGGGGTGGCTCAGATTCTTCCCCCCGATACCAGCCACGATCTGGATCATAATACTCACCAACAATTCTACGAAGTCCCTTGTCGCGAACCCCCACTGCAACGGGCTTGCTCTCTTTTGACAAGGGTTCCTCTTTATTCTTTTGCATATGCGGCAGAAGTTGAGGCAAACACTCTGGTTGCTGGAAACTTGGAGATCGACCAATCTCATAGGAATTGATAGCAGAATCTGTGCCCAGGCTAGAAAACTCTCTGCTCGTCTCAACTAGACTGCCTATGGTAGATATGATGTCTTTTCCTCCTGCCCTATGTACTTCTTCATTTACAAGCTCTTGAATGTTCGACTTTCGTCGAACTGAACTCTCAATACCTGTATCCTTGAATATACCCGTTAGTTCGATAGAATTTCTTATCGAGTCCGGCGTCGCACTCATTTGCCTCTGACAACATTGTTCTCTTGCTCGACGTGAGGCCGTAGTAGCACCAGGAGAATACTGGGACTCTGACCATGTCACAATGGTACCTGTGGTTTTGGAAAGCACCTTGCGACTGCTGATCTCCTCGGAGTGAAGTTTGGGAGTGGGCTTCTCGGAGAACTGCACATCATTGGGCTGTACTTGCTGATTGTTAGAATCCATCAAATGAGTTCTTTTCTCATCAATACGAGCCGCCAAATCTTCTGTGTAGTACCGATATCGATCATCCTCTCGATCTTTCCTCAGTTGTCTCTCATATAGAGAGACTTCAAATATTGAAGTTGGAGAAGTGAGATGGTCGATAGTGGGACTATGGTTCCTTATTGGGGTCTTAGATGGTTTAAAGAATTCTGCTATCTCATCTTGCGCTCGCGCAGCCTTTTTGTTTTCCTTGGCACGACTTTTAGGAACCACAATAGGATCATTGATCTGCGACTTCTTGCCAGAGCGTTGAAGGAATTCCATTTCCGAGAAAGCGAGGTCGGGTACTTATGAGTAGGTTAGCAATGTTCTTCCAAAAGCCTGGCACTAATGAAACCTACGTCCTCGTCGTATCGGTGGAGACGAAGCTCTGCCATTCTGAAAAATACCCGGGCCATTGGAAGGGCGCACCTGGCACAATCAGTTCCCGAAGCCCAAGACTAAAGGTGGGCTACTCACTGTCAAACGATTTTGGCCTATCTTGTTCGATGCGAAATTACTCATAAGATCCTGACTCGCTTTCTTTGCAGCTCTTTTTCGATCTCCTCTCTTCTCGCGCCTTGGTCTAATTGGCCTGTCGACAGCTCCCTCTTTATTGCTTTTCCTTTTTGTGTCATACCGATCCTCTCTTGTCTTATGGCGCGCTCTTTTCTCAAACATTTCTTTTTTGGCTGCACCACAGAAAATCTTGAAGAAATGGATGTTATAGTTGATGGCGCATTTCTTTGGTGGTTGTGAGATCGACTTGTGTCCTCGACATGGCCATGGTTAGCAGCGTTTGACCTTTGAGGAATCCTACTTTGTTCATCTACCACTGGCATCTTTGAAGCTTCGAGTAAAGAACTATCAGATGATGCGTGCTCTTCATGAGACTTCGGCCTTGAATCTGTGGCCTTTCTACTCTCTACAGGTCTATGTGCTGTATGATCATAACTCAAATACCCTGAACTCTTCTGTGGGCGACCTGAGGCTTGAGAAGGTGTCAGTGCATATAATCATGGAAGCATGACATAAACTAGGACTGCTTGTTTACCCATTCCAGTATTCAATTGTTTTGGTGTATCAACACCGTCTTCATTTTGAATCTGCGCAAGCCAGTTGGTAACATAACCTCTGTCCGCAGATAGTTCATTTTGATCTTTAATTGCGAGTGGTGGTCTTTGTTCCGCGGGTCTTTTTGGAGAATGAAATCGATCATGTCTTGGACTTGCGCTCTGGTGCTTATAATGCTTGTGGTGTTTTCGCGAGTCTACATGTCCACTTCCATGCTCACGAGTGTGTCTGCGCTTGCGAGAACGATGATTTTCTTCCATTGGAGAAGAAGCAAATAATTGATAGACGGGATAAATAGTAAAGGGTAAACGTTTTACATTGTGAATTGAAATGGAATGAATGGTTATGAACTTATCATGATGCAACGAATGATGAACTCACATGGTGGGTAATTCCTTTTCCAGCTTGGGGAAGGAAGGTATTGCTGATAAGTGAAGAAGTGGAAGGTACGAACCTACCGAATTTGCACTTAGGTACACTCAACTCAGGAAAAAACGTTAAGAAAATTGCCTGACCAACTAGACCAATCGCTCAAGCTATCGTGGATACATTTCCATACCCATAAACAACCCTATGACATTATGTTCCTTGAAGGAGAGCATATCAAAGAATTTCTAGACTCATCACCACATCGACATCCATCATCAACTTCATCTTATTTCGCTACCGCTGAAGACGTCGATTCAAGCTGTCTTCTAATTCCCGACCGTCTGCCTTGGATTTTGTCAAATGATATCAAGGAGCCAAGCTATTTCTAAGACTCTATAGAAGTTACCAAGAGCCGCATGTCTTCAAGATGTATCAGCAACGAGAAAGGATAAATAGCGGTGTGGGTAATTGCAGCCCTATCCTGCACATGTGCAAACATCAAATGGCAACGGCTTTCCCGTCCAACTTTCGATCAGCTGTGAAAGAAAAGATGTGATAATGTTGATCTTAATCTCAATGCCGCCTATCCATCACCTGATTGGAAGAAAATGCGAGTGCGGTTGTGAGATGTGAGTTATCACGATAATCATCATACCTATCATACCCTCCAAGGCTTCCACGGGTAGGTATTGTTACACCAATATCCGCTGTCTACCTACCTTCATCAACGATGTAGAAATCTGATTATCTAGCATTTTCGTACAACCACTGCCACGACTCCCCGCATCAAATTATACGAATGAAAAGGCATTATCCAGATTCATCATATCACCATCCGTCCGGTCTTGACCACCCGTAAACTTTAGACGAAGCACAAGTTTTTTGTTTTCATGTTATACATCGGCTCTTTAGACCATTGTAATTCATTCAGGCGTCGCGTTGAGTTCTAGATTTGTCGGATTCCAATCCAAACACTTTTCGGAAGGAGAAGCGTCCCTTTTGGTATAGAAACCTAGATCGGTATGCATCTCGCCGAATGAACATGTAATTTGAGTATAGCTTGGTGTGCACGTGGGTTGAATCTGATGCATGTAAGTTCCAAGGTTGTCTGGACTCTGTAAGATGGTGGAGGTATTTGATTGGGATAAATGGATGCTTTTTGGCGAATTGAGATGAAGAGGATGAAAAGGATGAAAAGGATGCAAAAGGATGCGATACAATATTGAATTGGGAAGCTCTAAACCCATGCATGTACTGCCAATGAATGAATGTGTCAATGAATATGTCAATGAATGTGTCAATGGATGTGTCAACGAATATGTGCGAATAAATTGAACGGGTTTTGTTGATGTTGTATTATTGAATGGGAAAGCTCGGTTGATTGTTCTACGAAGTATTGTTCTATCCCATATCAATCATTCTTTAGTGATCAGACAGTGGGACTTTTGATGGTTCTTTGGGTATCGATCCTCAACGTCGTCCTCATCCTCATCGACCTATGACTCCGAGGCTACCGGTACTAGATAATCCTCAAGAAAGTCTTTCCTCGTTCCACGTTGAATGCACCACATCATCTCCGAGCTGCCTGCAAGTGTTCAATGTGGCCACCGACAAGAACTGTTGGTCGGAATTTGTACGCTGTGGTTGGTTGCGCACAGTGCACGGACGGCACTTGGACTATTTTGGGGTGAGAGCTCCACAGAAGACCCTTTGAATCAAGTTTTACCCCACCTCAATCGATAGCAATCAATAGCAATCGATAGCAATCGATAGCAAGCTCCTTTTGATATTCACACCGAACTCACAGTCTCGTACCATGGTATTATTATATACTCTGCACCTATGCAACTTAACAGCTCAATAGCTTGATATCATCTTACGACCAATGCGGTAGCATCTGCATGGCTGCAGGTTTGATCGTTGGGGCATAATGCATATGATAGGATGATGGAATTCATACTAAACAAAGCTTACGAGCTATCACATCATTCATTGGATTGGAAGTTGGAAAGCTTGGAAAAGCTATTAGATGGGTTAGGTTAACAAGAGAGGCACGATAATTTCAAAACATCTGGCCTTTAGCTAGAGAAGGGTCTAAGGATCTATCTACCTACGAGTAGGTATGATTTGTCCTCTTTTCCATTGATTGATCGTATGACAACACCGACTCTTGAGGCAATGTATATCTATCTATCTGGGTGGGTAGATTGCGACATATCAATGCCGAAATTCGGAGATTCCTATGCCTACCTAGGTCCTAGGTACCTGAGACATGATTCATTATCCGGTCCAGCCAATTCTGATGAATTCCTCAAGTTTAATATTGGGCAACAAAGGTAAAAGCCGAAGGAAGATCTCTCATGTCAATTAGATACCCAAGCCAAGGATAGACCACAGCCAAAATAGGGATTGCTTGGTTCCAACCAACAAGAGGTGCACCTAATAACCTTATTAGTCAAAGCAAGGTTTCTAGTAAGCCATGGGCTTTTCCAGCCGTCCATTGACCTTTTCAACCAATGTGTGCATGATGGAATAACTTGCTTTTTGTTGCTGGCCAAATGTCCTGAAGTGAAGAGTGAATCGATGTATATAAAGATAATTCAATTGCCGTCATTGGGGATTCCAGGTCTAATCTCTGGGAATTTGATTCTTCCCCTCCAATGTCGATGTTCCATTGGTTGAATATCTAGGATTGATCATAAATGAGTGAAGCATTCGCGGAGAATCCAAAGCGGTTGATAATGTGGGATGAAGCTTGAGGTTGTTTTGGTGCTTGAGAACTGGAACTTGGTAAGAAAGAGCCGATCTAACGTAATCGGGGGTGGACCGTGAGCCCCCGTCAAGGTGTGGTGACTTCAAGGGATCGAATCAAAGGTCGAGCTGGCCCATGGTATCTATCTGCCTTCATCTTCTTCTTTCTCTTGGACGCTAGTGAATCTTATGGGAGGGGCAAGAATAATCAATCATATGCAGTCAGTCAGTCTCAGTCTCAGTCTCTTTCAATTCCCCCGCTTTGCGCTTAATAGATCAGAAAATCTTCCCTACCTACCTTAAACCCTTTCTTCCACTACAATCTCATTCCTCTTCCTTCCAAGTTACAACCTCAACTCCAAATACCTTCCTTCGCGATTTATTACCTTCGCACTCCTACATTTTATCAGATCGCACTGTCATTTCAGTCGTCCGATTGAATAATCCCCTTCTAACGATCTGTTATTTACATCTCAGAACCCGATACCTTTTACCAAACACCCACCAACCAACCAACAAAGAAATCTCGATATTTCATCATTTCATCTCGACACTCTAATCCTTCAAGAAGTTCGTCCGATTCTCCTGCTTGTGCTAGCTGACTTAACTGTCTTTTGCGATTTTGCTTCCAAATTCATTCCACATCACCCTTCCATTCCACATCTCCGTTTTGCGGATTCCTGTTTTTGCCTCGATGTATCTTTCTTTGTGTGTTCCGTCCGTTTCTCGTATACACAACTTCCGCCTGAAATGGCGCGATTCTTTTTGTGTGAATGCGTGCGGACATTGAGACTTTCAGCCAGGTTTTCGAGAATTATCTATCATGTCTAAATTATTCATTGGGTAAGTCCAAATTGTTACATTCCATTCAAACCATCACTTGACAGATTGACTGACATTCTCAATTAGTGGCCTTGCTTGGCACACAGATGAGAACGCTCTCCGTGAGAAGTTCTCTGAATTTGGAACTGTTGAAGAAGCAGTATGTTCTACGCTCCCTTTATCGATTAGCTCAACTGCAGGATAATATACTGATATGATTAATACAGGTTGTTGTCAAGGACCGCGACACTGGTCGTAGCCGTGGCTTCGGCTTCGTTCGTTATGGACAAGGCAACCCTGAATCGTCCCCCGAGGCCGATGCGGAGAAGGCTATCCAAGAGATGAACAGTGTTGAGTATGTTTGTTCCAATATACAAATTTCTAGACACAAGCTAATATACACATAGATTCGATGGCCGTACCATTCGTGTCGACAAAGCCTCCGAGCGCGCCGGCAATGACCGCTCAGGTGGTGGCGGTGGCGGATTCGGTGGTGGCCGAGGTGGTGGAGGATATGGTGGAGGCCGTGGTGGCGGTGGATATGGAGGTGGTGGTGGAGGATACCAAGGTGGTCGTGGATATGACAACAACAACTCCGGCGGTGGTTACTCTGGAGGTGGTGGATACAGTGGAGGTAAGATTCCCTTTGATGATTTCTCCTTCAGTGGCCGCACGAACATTACTGACGTTGATGATATAGGTGGTGGATACTCTGGTGGCGGAGGTAAGCGATCTCGCTCGACCAGTCTGTCGTGAACATTTGAATAGCATTTACTAACAATTGAGATGATAAAGGATACAATGGAGGCGGTGGTGGCGGTACGTTGCACCGTGGATACTCTTAACTTTTATAAGCATACTAATTGTCTATAGGCTACTCTGGTGGTGGTGGCGGTGGATACTCCGGCGGTGGAGGATACGACCGTAATCAAAGTGGTGGAAACGCCGGAAACTGGGGAGGAAACCAATAAATTGATTTCGACTAGGCGGCATTCTTCTCTTCTTCAAGGCCTCTCATTCTCCAAGAATAAGAAAAGTCAGCCTGGGGTTCTCAGCGAAGGTTTTTCGTGGGGCGGATTTCATGATGTTATCATCTTTTTCGATAGCAGCTTAAGATTTACCTCGTGGTTTCTGGCAGCGGTTCTGGTCTGGCGAGCAATATGATGCTTGCATGGAGTTTGGAGGGGGTTATCTTACCTTGCTCGATCACTTTTTTTCTTTTCAACATCTAACAAATGTTTTCAAGTCTGCCTGTATTTTCGAGTCACGATCATTCTGATCAAGCTCTCTTTATGTAGACTGCATATCTCTGCAGGTCTATATGGTTTCTATGGCAAATAATACCCAAAAAGGGAATGAATGAATGAATGGCTCTTTCACGCGTTACTTTTCAGTCTCCTCCTGCTCATCTGTGCTTGTAACTTTCTTGAGCCTATGATCTATAACCTCTGTGAGACTTGCTTCTGCTTCGACACCTCCTTGCCTCTCAACTATCTTCCGAACCCTGTTCGCCAGATCCTTGACGTGATCATCACTACTCTCAGGACTCAGTTCGTCCACTTGATTCATTAGCATGATTATTCGTGTCTGATGCAGACAGATATATCGTAATGACTAGCATCCAAAATATACAAAAACAGAAATCAAAACGGGATACAAGCAACATACAAGCAGCATCCAAACTCAAAAGATAATCGCGATTCAAACCACTCGGGCCTTCGCTTCGGAAGATGTGCTCCGCTAATTCCTGCGGATCTTGGGGGCCGGTAAATTGAGGATTGGAGGGAGTGCCTATGTAGAGGAGGGTTTGAATTGGTTGTTGTTGGTTTTCGTTGGAGGAGGAGGCGGCGGAATAAAATGAGGTGTAGTGGATGGTGTAACCATTGATCTCTCGGATGTCGAGGTATTCGCGGACTTGGGCGACGTGGGATGGGGGGATGTGGTAGGCGACACCCCAGGTTTTTGGAGGGGAGGAGGATGGGGTGAGAGATGGGGTTGGGGGGAGAGAATGCGGATCGTGGAGGGTGAGCCAGTGGGAGTGTGGGATTAGGGTTACGACTCGGCCGGGGGAGGAGGGCGTGCCTCGGTGGTCTTCGCTAGTGGGGGTTAGGGGGGGTAGAGGAAAGAGGAAAGAGGAAAGAGGAAAGAGGAAAGAGGGAAAGGGGGTGATTTATTTACCTAGCCTGATATCTATGTGTTAGCTCATACTCTTATTTACACGACTTCGTATGTGAAAGGAAAAAGGAAAATAGTTTTACTAGGGAATGAGAACGCTTCAAGTTGAACCCTCGTCCCTATGAAATATCTTCTGGGGAAAAAAAAAGAGGGAAGATGGTGTAAAAATATCTTACCTGCCAAAATCTCCGCACATATCCTGTTACGTAGCCTGGAATACGACGATCTATTTGGGGGGATTGTTAGGGAATTGGGGTTTAGGTGTTCGTTATTTAAGGGAGGGGTTGGCTTTGGTGGTAAGTAGATACCTAGGTACATTTCTTGGAGAGTGCAGTCTATGATAAAGGACGGAATGTACGAAGGAGAAGATTTCTAGATTACCAAAATGTGGAGGGGGCTTCCAGATTAAACTCCTGTGATTTGGAAATTGGGTTAGCTGGGATTGGATATAGGTATTTAGGTAGGTGATGTAGAGGAAGAGGTGTAAGGTAATAGGTACCCATATCCGAAGATCCAAAATTCATTTTCGGGATTGGGGGAGGTGGAGGGGGAGGGAGTGAGAGAGGTGTCGCCCATGGTGCGTATTGGATGCGTAATGATGCGTATTGGTGCGTATTGGTTCGTATTCGGGAATTACTCTAGATAGTTGAGACAGGAGAGGGGAGAAAGGAGGGGGTATTGATATATGTATATGAGGTGAAATGATAAAGAGTTGACGAGCGAGGGGTAAATAATTTTATGTTTCAGATGCGTTTTGAGGGAGGGAGAGAGGGAGGGATGATGATGATGATGTACTTGGGTAGAGCGGAATGATCAGTTGAAATGCCGATGGAGGCTTGCTTGCATTTCCACTTTTTTCTCCAGATACTTTGATTGAGATTTATAATTTATAATATGTACTCTATATTGCGTGTACGAAGTACGAGTACGGGAAAGTAGATAGCAGCAGGTGACACTCACGTAAGTACCTAAAATTGATCGCAACCAAATTTACTTTGCAGGAATTGCTCACCGGGACTCGGAAATCGGGTACATGTCAGGTACACATTTATATGGGAGAGGATAAAAGTATAGAAAATTCAAGGGCGCATGACATCTCTTGTCAGTGTCAGTGTCAATATCAGTCCATACACTGCTGCACTGAAAATGTCTGTTTTCTGTTGCTCACCAGGGCTCCAAAATACTCGCATCAAGTATTGGCATTCGTCATTCTTGGGCTCTTAACACAGCTGGGTGAATCACTGAGGATTCTCGACGACCTCTCACCTCAGCCCCCATGAATACATCAGAAGACTCCTTTCTATCCCAATATATCTAGGACTCGTCGTTCTCGCCATACTTCCTCTTTCGACGATACACGATACACGATACTTTGACATCAAATTAATTTCATAGGCAATTTTTAATCGGCAACTCTTCCGGTGATCACCAGGTACCTGAAATTAGATCCACCATTGTAACGCTCAGCCTACTCGCCGCGTCAAGGGAACCTTTTACTTCCACGGCCCCTCTAATCGCTCGAGCTTCAATCTTCAATCTTTATTAACATCTAACTTACCACGAAACCTCACAACTTCTTTAAATAGTCGACAACTGAAGAATAATTGGTCGCGAAACGTCTTCTATAATCAACACTCTTGATTCCATCAATTAACATGGCTTACAACAAAGCTTTCAACCCAGATTCGCTACCTGCGTAAGTCAATCCCCTCTTCTCTAGATGAGAACCAGGCTGACCTCAACCCCACAGGTTCGCAGAGCCAGAACGAGTACATTTCTCCCTTTCCCCAAATCGCATCGCATAACCATCACTAACCCACACAATAGAGAAATGCGCAATCCCCCACCGTTCAAGCCCCCATTCACAGCCAAGCGCAACAAGCCATGCACGGCGCACAATACGAAAACCGTCCTCCACCATCCCTCCCCCAAACCATAAATCCCAACGGCCACAGACCATCCGATGGTCGACGACTCTCTCCCCAAATGCATCCTCCAGGGAACTATGGCGCTTCCCCTCCCGGTCGCGGCTATGCTTCTCCTCCACCAGGGCAATTCCAACCTGGTAGAGTTGCGCCTCAGACAAGACCGGCGCAACAATCTAGACCTCCTCCTTCGCCTGCTCCTCCTGGTGCGGATCCTCAGTTGTGGCCGCTGTTTCAGGCGGTGGATAAAGATAGTATGTTTTGACCCTATTCCTATCTCTCCCTCTAATATTCAAGAAGGAAAGACTAACCCCTCCCCCCCCCTTCTCTAGGAACCGGCGCCCTCACCGAAAGAGAGCTCCGCGCCGCCCTCGTAAATGGCGATTGGACCGCCTTCGATCCCTACACTGTAAAAATGATGATCCGCATGTTCGACACCGATCGCAGCAATACCATCAATTTCGAAGAATTCTGTGGATTGTGGGGATTTCTTGCTGCATGGCGTGGATTATTCGATCGTTTCGATAAAGATCATAGTGGGAATATTAGTTTGGATGAATATTCGGAAGCGCTGGTGGCTTTTGGTTATAGATTGAGTGATAGTTTTGTGGGGACCCTGTTTAAGGCTTATGATAAGAGGGCGGAGGGGGCGATTAGTTTCGATATGTTTGTGCAGAGTTGTATAAGTTTGAAGAGGATGACTGATGTGTAGGTTTTCTTTTTCTTTCTTTCTTTTCTTGCGGGATGGGTTTAGGATGTTATCGGGGTTCTGCGTTTGCGAAAAGATATTCCTGAGACTTGTGAGAACAAAAAGCTAACATGATGTTTTGAAATAGCTTTAAACGTTACGATGATGACCGCGATGGTAAGTTAATTCGCATTCGTCTCTTCAGCTATAAATGTCTGACAATTTCTACTAGGTTATATCACACTCTCTTTTGAAGATTTCCTCCTCGAGATCATTCGACAGAAGTATTAAGATTTTTTACATGTTTATGGCTAGGAAGATATATATGTACCAGGGAACTGGGCAGCTGGGAAACAGATGGGTCTAGCCTCGATTAGTATTCTGGTAAGGAAAATGGTAAAGGATGGAACTTGGCATTGCGAAATATAGGTTATGGTGATGTTGGGAGGGATGTGGTGGAATTTGATGTGTCTAGAATGGATAGATGCTCATAGGAAATTTGATACCCATGGTTTTTGCAGTTGTTGTTTGGTTGAGCTTGCTGGTGTTGTGTGAGTGGTGTGTGGGTGCTGTGTAGGAAGAAGGAGTAGGTATGCTGGTAAGTGAAGTATATGGGTGGTTAGTCGTGATGAACTTCGAGAGGACTGTATGTTCCTCGATATACGCCCAGGTATCTCTTTCTTTTTTCCTTTTCTTTTTTCAAACTCTTTTCATTTCATTGCCTTTTATGCGTCAATCTCCAGAGTCAACAAACAACCCCTAGATTTCTTTTTCCTTGTATCAGAGTGAGAATTCCATATGTATACCTAGGTACACACATACTTGCGTACAATATCTATCTTGTCTATCTCATCTGACTCTCTAAAACGAGATAGATAGATAAATAGATAGATAGAGAGGTAAATATATCATCGCGAGGATATCAGGAATCGAGATATTGGGGGGTTCTCGTTTGAGATTTTGATTTTGATTTTGATTTTGATTTCTTGAGCTGTGGGTGGGTGGATGGAGGTGGATAGGGTGAGGTATAGGGGGGAGGTGGGTCACACGGGGAAGGTGAGGGGTGTGAACAGAATGATAGATTGGTGTATGTGTGTAAAACGGAGTAGGGGATCAAGTGATTCTGGTATAGTCCAGGAGTGAGAATTTGTTCTTGATGTGTGGAGTTCTCTTGGATTCGTTGTGTTTTGGGATTTTTGGGGGGAAGGGGGGGGAGTTGGATTTGGATTCGGATTGAAGTTATTAGTTAGGTATTAGCGTCTGTAGGTTGGGTTTGGAGAGTTGGTTTTGTGTGTTGTGTTATTTTGTAGTGTTATATTGTTTCTTGTTGTGGGTATGGGTGTGGAATTGCTGGAATTTGATGGATTCAATAGTTTGGTGGCTTGGGGGTCGTGGGTGGGACTAGGTTTGTGTGTGTGTATAGTCGGGATTAGTAGGAGGAGTAGTGGAAGTAGGAGGGCTGTGGTAGTGACTGTGGAAGTGTGGTGATGGTGATGGTGATGGTAATGGTAGTGTTTATTTTTGTATTTCGTGAAGATACAAGTAAGAGCGTTATCACGCGATGTGTTGGGGTTGTTTTGTTTATCTGAGATTAGAGTGATAACTGTCGTGGGAATTAAAGCCAGAAACCTACAAAAGTGTGCTATGATGACTTAAGCTGGGTTTCCAGAGAGAGGGGGAGTATCTAGTATAGTTGAAGTCTTATAGTGTGAGTATTGAAAGAGGTGACCATAATTGGGTGTGATAAGTTGGTTTTATTTCCCGGTTATTTTAGATACCTATATAATAAGGTGAAGTTGTTGCGATTATCATTGGGATCAAGAGAACCATTCGCATACTTTCCATGTTGCGGTCTGATTTAATGCCCACGCTGGTGCGACCTGAGCACGTTATTCAGGGGAGTTTTGATTTGTTGTTGGGGTTATTGGTCAGGAAGTAGAATCGTTCATTAAGTAAAGAGTTTCACGAGAGTGAGATGAGCGTCAAGCGATGCGGTACTTCAATACACGAGCACCATCTACTCCAGAATGGGAAAGTCAAAGTGACACTTTCTATGGGAATAAAGATTGGAGCCAGGCTTTTCGAACAGCTAATTATTCTGCTGATGATATATTTATATTGCTATGGATAGCACTAAAGTGCTATGTATAAACGCTGTACCATTACATAAATATGGTGTGTGAAGGTAGGCTTCTCAAAAAATTTGAACCGTCTCGTTTGCCTGTTTATTAGCCCTATCTTCTTGTTCACCCGTCTCTCCTGCTTGTTCACTCGTCTGTTCTGCCTGTTCACCTGTGACCAACTCCTCTGAGACTTTAAGCGCCCTTTCCCCAATTCTGATCAAATCCCTATTATGAAGAGTTTCTTGGTGCTGACCCGTGATGGCTTGGTCCAGAAGCGCAGCCGCAACTGTTTCTGCCTGAATTCTTGGCAGCCGACCTTTGAGACCATCTCGGACCCACGATCCAGCAGTATGCGCCATTTCTTTCAAGCCATTGCCAGTCTTGGGTCGAACGATGTGTCTCGGCTTTGCAATGCATGCCTGCACTTGTCCATTGAGCTCACCTGCGGAACTCAAGACATCTACCTCTGTGATTCCCTGCAGGTATATAGTTAGTACTATAGTGTTATTCTCGAAACTCGATATAAGGGAGTGACTCACCTGTATCAAAAGTGAAGTCGGATCTTGACGCGGCATCCGGGGTCTTCTGGATCGCGAACTGCTCACGTAAATGAACTTAACGGGAGTTACGTCAGAAGAGTTAGGGTTCCCGAAACGTGCTCGCCGCCTCGCCATCCATTTCACGCCTTTCTCAATTTCTTCGTGATAACACGCTCGGTCGTAATGTGTAAATTCATTTTTCGGTCCAGTCGCAACTGGTCTGAGGTTCCTACAGTATTCGAGTCAGAATCTGAGAATAAGTAAAGGTGCGTCAAGTAGTCCCAGCTGCTACTCAACGATCAAGGAATTTGATTAGGAAATGTGTCTATACCAAATACAAGCACCCGTTGCAGAAGCATCGATAGTTAGTCTATTCCAGCCCTCATTGTTTTGGGGAAGCTCGCACGTCACCATTTTCGAATGGCCACTAGGTTCTTGTGGTGGATCTGTCGGACGACCTGATATAGCTATGATGGATGTGATTTTGATGTTGGCAAGAGCTTGTTTGACGAGTTCCGCACCAAGAATGTCTGTCGAGCCGACAATGATGAGCTTCATGTCGGAGGATGGTGTTTGTTGCAAGTGATAGTAAGAAATATAATGATTTAATGAATACAATGTTTGCTGAAGATGATGTTGATTGAAGATGGTGTTTATTAAAGATGGTAATGTTGTTGTTTTTGAGGAAAAGTTTTTTGTTGGAAAGTAGTCTTTATATATTCCCAGGCAAGCGCATTAATATCAACTCTTACCAGGAAAGAGCCGATGACCATCCAACTCCTCCATATCGACTGCTTCGAGAAATTGAGATGAGCACACCATGAAGTCGCACCTGCCTTTTTATGCAAATTGACGTCGGGATAATAGGCAATAACATACCGTGCAATCTTTGTGAGATCGATGAATTTAATTCCTTGGGCAAACTTTGTATCGTTTATCAAACTGTATGGACCCTCCTTCTCCCAGGTATTACTCACTCCCCTCATTGCTTCTTTCGCTTCGTGCCATTGAAAGCCACTCTTCGTTTTCTAGTATCACATTGTCTTATTTGTCGCACATGAATAGGCAGTGCCTGTGTAGCTGTAAGTAAACAACATATATAATGACTTTCGCTCCTTGCGAATGCTGCTGGACCTGCTGCTTATGTATTTTCACCGCAGCATCCACTATAAATTAGTTATCCTCGCTCCAGAGCAAAATTTATCGTATCGTTAGCAAGGTTGTCAATGTAAAAATTGCGGTCCGCATGTAACTCGCTTGTACGGTAGCCCGGCGCCAAGATATTGAGTCTTCTTTCCTACAAAAGACCCTACCAAAGTACAAATAATGAATTTCCAGTAGCAGGGACTATTACCAGATGATCATGTGATTAATCTTCGGTTTGGAAACTTCACTCGACACAGATGCTAGTATGATATTGACGATAGCTCTAGAAGTCTAATCTAGTATTAGATGAGAACTAGGATTCAGTGCTAATCTCCATTAGTACATTCGAACCGCAATTAGACGATACTATAATGAAACTATCTCTTTATCTACCTAGCTATCTAGACATATTATATGCCCTTTAGATGAGATTTATCTACTTTCAGCTTGAAAACACGAAGGTAGATCGAGATCGGCACTTACCGTTAAGTTGAATCGAAGCCGGTGAGAAGCCGTATCGGAATCACCTTGTCAGTATCGTTCACCTTCAACACTGGCAAACGAGAAAGCACTCGGCATAATCCACGTGGTGATAACTCACACCAAGTCGCAAATTCCGGTTAATAAGCACGCAATTAAGACAAATCCCTCAAATTCACCCAATTTCGAGCCGCAAATCGAACGATTCTGTGCTGCAATTCGCAGCAAATGCAAAAACAATCTGGATGAACCCTTCAGTCCGACTCTGAAAGAAGCCGAGATCCTATCAAAGTGTTCCATCTACTCCTCCATGATGAAGATACAAGAATGAATGACTACCCGTCCAGGTAAATAGAATCCCACATTGAACTGCACCCCAAGACTCCAGTGAAGCTCCAGGTCTGAGGAACTCTGCATAAAGGCCATGCCTCTGTCCCTCTTGCTTCTCTTTCTTTTTGTGAAAAACAACTCTCTCGGTCACTCTGCCCCTCTTCCACAATCTCACGCTATCGCAGTACTAGCATCCTATCACACTTCCATCGATCTTCATCTCAACGAACACTGCCCCTTCATTCGCAATGTCTGGTCTTATGCCTTCCAATGACGAAAACGAATACGGAAATATCATTCGCCGTGCCCCTTTCAAGTATCCTTCACGTCTCATGAATCGCTCTCCTTCTCCCGAGCCTCGACCAGCGATGGACCACAATTATCATAAACCTCTTGATGTCAATGACTATCCGTCAAGATTTTCCGTAAGTATATTTCTGAGCTTTTGTTGCACATCTAACTCTAACTGTTTCTAGCTAGAGAGCGAGGAGCGGGAGCGTTTGGAAGAAATCGAATATACCAAGCGAGTAGAAAAGGAGAGAGTTGAAGAGAACGTGGCTAATCGCATCGCCTAGGTTGAGTTGGATCGTTAATGTGAAGAGAAGAAGGCAGCCAATCGCAAACTTCAGGCCGACTCCGATTACAAAGCTGTTACAAAGCGTGTTACCAAAGTGCTCCGCAAGACATCCATTGTACGTTGCCCCTCTTGAATCTATGGATTTCAAACTAATGTATTGTCTGTCATAGTTCGAGCCAAAATACGAGGCTGAGACTGGCGAAGGAAGTAGCAAAGGAAGTGGCAAAGGAATTGGTCGTGGAATTGCGAAAAAGTGATGGTAGTTTGAGGCTTGGGAGTTTGGGAGGCAGACTGTACTTTTAGAAACTCGCACATAACGGTCTAAATCGCCTATATGGCAAACTTGCATCATAGCGCATGACTTCGAGTGAAAATGGAATAAATTTCATCTCGCAATCCTGATTCCACTTTGTGTGAATGTGATTTACGAACTGATTTTTGGGTCGCGCAGCCGCATGAAGTGAATATTCCCTCGCACAGAGTGGATCGCACCACCAATTGAGTCCACGGTATTGCAAAATTTATGAGTCGCTTACCAAGCTCCACACCCATCACAGCCATCACAACCAGAAAAGACGATTTTGCAAAAAGAGATAAATCTCAAAAGAAAGAGAGACAAAAGATGCAAAACTCACGCCGAAGCCCTAATGTTACAACTCTCCATATAACTCGTCTAACGGGGCACCACTCGGTAACAAACGCCTCAAGGGAGACGAAGGCAACCGACTCATCAATACTGCCAGATTTCTTTTTTGTCATTGAATTTATGGAGGTTATCGAAGTGTTTGAAAATATATACTATAGTTTTTCATTAGCGAAGCTCCACATGTTGAGACCAAAGAATGGTAAGGGTCCACTGCCACTAGAGGTTAAGATGATGGCACGCGTGAGGCATGAGGGCATATTTGTTATTAAGCCAGCTATGTCTTTTGAGTTCAGAAGGGCGACGATATGATTGGGGATGTTTTGACAGCTACTTTACAAAGAATCTAAGAGAAGGTTATCTTCCGTTCTAATGAAATCTGCTCATAATTTTAAAAGAAAAACTCAATGTGCGCATTTATTATCTCTGCACAAAGGAAGGGACTATAGCCGTGTTGAGAGTTTTCACGGAGGAGGTAATACCTTGAGGTCAAGAAGGTCGTTCGGAACGTGCTCTCTTCAAACACTCAACGATGCATGTACCTTCTCCCAAGGTTATGAGTTTATCTTAGCAGTATTCTCTGTCACTGTCAAGTCCTCCTCCCTAATCTAACATCATAACTTCTTCTGCTGAATTCACATGTGCAAACTGTAGTGTTCTTGAGCTTCGAATCCAGTGATTCAGTACATCGCCACCTCTCATGAGGATGGTATTAGAAACTAGTTAGTTTGATTTAAAAGATATGCGTGACTATCACAGCACCTCTGCTATATTTTATTTCGTTGAGTATATGTTTTGAAAGTGGAGTGGTACCGAATAATTGTGGAGATGGGTTCTCAAGCGAGGGGGGTGGGATGACAACAGACACGCAACATCGAATCACTTGCACGTTAAAGGTTTATACCAACACACACCTTTTTATAATGACTGAACATCCATTCAAAAACAAACTACGGTACCACGGTAGTGAGAAGACGTAAATCTCAAACATGGCGGGCTTCAATCATACTTTGAGAAGCAGCTTCTATTCGCGTCAGAAAAGCTATTACTACGGTCAGAATTTCATGCTTTCTTATCATATACCTCGACTCAATGAATCATCCCAGAGTTGTTTCCATACTGCCGTATCGCAGTACTTGTATACATTACTGCACAGTACAATTCAGTCAAACAACTACTAGAGCAGTGTTTATGACCATTTGAGATAATTACAAAATGGCACAACTTCCTGTCATCTTCTTTTTCTCCCTTACAACATCACAAAACATCCGCATATCAACTGCACAGCTTCCAAACCCTCACAAAGCGTGTCAATAACTACCATCGAGTATCGAAACACGCACCGCACCGCACTTCATCTACCACTGTCACTATCTCTATCAACGTAAACTCATCAACACACAAAATGAAGTCCCAAGAGGTATCCAACAAAGGCCAGCCTCAATTCCAGCCAGTCAAAGTGGAACAGCCAGAGACAGCCCCCAAAACAAATCCAGCAACCTCCAAGAAAGAACCAGCCAAACCAGATCCAAAAAACCCCACCACTCCCCGCAACGAAAGAGTATCAGAAAAATGTCCTCGCTGCGGAGGCACCGGATTTCTCGGTCAATGTCACTCTTGCAGTCTCGGGACAGGAGTTGGATTTTGATCGATGGGATGGTGGGAGTTAGGAGGAATGTACGGAGTCGGCGAATCTTGTGTAAATCTGCAAGATATCCATACGGAACGGGAACGGGAACGGAAAATGGTTTGAGGTGGTAGGAATATATTGGTTTTATGTATTTTGGACTCCTTGGTTGCTCTTCAACCCGAATACATTGCAAGCGCGCTGCTGGCGTTTCTTATCGTCCATTCGAGGTTTAGACGACTAGGGGAAATTCGTTCGTTAGTTCTGGTGCACAAATAAACAATAAAAAATACACCTGTTTCATCATATAATCATGTCCTCATTGTGATTCCTCGCATATCTCTACATTTACCTTACTCCTCCCCATGTCCACCTCCATCTTTGGTTTCATCTCCGGCTTCATCTTCCTCCTCGCTATCCCCAATCAATCGCTCTCTTCTCCCAATATCCGTCAAACACAGCTCCACTCATCTTCACTTTCTTCTCCTCCATCGCCAACATTCCCATCCCACCAACCAATTTTTCTCCCTCCCTCTTCTCTCTTTCCACCGACTCCAATTTCTGCTTCTTCTTCTTTCTCTTCACTCTCTGATTCCCATTCGTTGCGGCAATTTCTCTTCTTTCTTCTTCACTTGTTTCTGCGGGATAAATTAGCGCTAGCCTCGCAAAAAGAATCAATCGTGAATAGATTCATCCCAAAACGATGGGAAATTATAACTCACAGCGAGATTTTTCTTCTCCCTCTTTGACAGCGGTCGCTTCTCCACAGAAGAGCTTTCGGACTGGGTGGTGGCTTGCATTTTATAGCGAATCGAGTGGCGAGGCAACGAAGGAAAGGAGTACTGTGATTGTTGCTGCTTGAACAATATCTCTCGAGAGGAAAAGGAAAGTTTTGATTACCAAAGGCTGTGGTGGTAGCCTCGTTACTTGAGACGATAATACATAAATAAGATTCACTCAACAGAGTACAGATTCAAAAATGCCTTTCCGTCTTCTCATCTGATTTCGAAGCATGGTAGCCTTAGAAAAGTTTACGCTAACTTATTCTTCGAATGGACTCAACGACTTTGATGAAAGATTTTAAATTATTCTCTCATCGTATGTCGTTTAAATAAAGCCTCAGATCAAAGGTTCAGCTCAAAAACATAATCAATATAAGACTTGTCCTACACGAAACTTTGAAGATTATAATACAATGAGTTATTGAATTACCAGACATCACTTCAGTCTACTCTTTGGACTTTCGTGTTTTACTTGATGTCTGGACTTTTGGTAAAAGGTAATCTCCACCCCAGAACGCCTTGTATACTCCATATAGCCCAGTCAATGGCCAGATACTCCAGAAGATTGCCAGCAGCCACAAGATCCACGATGCCTGCAATTTCTCTCGTTCCGAATCTATATCAACTTTGACTTTATCGTAGATACTAGGAAGGTGTGTGGCATTGTACTTGACACGAAGAGCATCATATTCCTTGCGATCATAAATCTCATCGAATTCCTTCTCAGTATAATAAGCATGAGCATACAGCCACTTCTGACCACCCAATTCTCGAACCTTATGTTCGAATTTGCGGTTCCATGATACGAAATCATCACGATTACTTGGTCCTGGTCCCCAGACCCCAAAGTTGAGCAACATATTAGGAGTAGATGAATTCTCTTTCCTTTCGGCGAGAAGACCACGCGGTGAATCGCTGGATATCCCGCTTTGACGCAGTGGACATAGCCAAATGGGCCACTGGCCGAAATCTTTGTCGAGATATTCGACGAACTCGGCGCTACGTGGATATGGAATTGCTACATCCTGGATTATATACTTTTTTGAAAGCCCGCTTTGATGTAATGCGTGATACATCACTCGCGTATGCATGAAGTAGTCGAGTAGACGACGAGTGATACGGTTGAAAGGAGTAATGAAGTATCTAGCAGAAGTCAGTGTTAGGCGTACCTTAAAATTTGATTTCCCTTTACCTATAGGCATATCTAGCGACCCAAAAACCGCCTCGGTCATATCTAAACAGGTAATCAACAAGAGGTATCATTTCTGTGACTGATCCGGAGCTCTTATCATGCATTTTCTTTGCATGGAGATAAAACCAAGGATCTGAACTTCTCGTGAAACGCTGAACCTGTGTATTGGGGGTAATCTCATCAACCAAGCGTCCGGAACAGATGACACCAGCCTCTTTACTGAACAGAATTCCATCGAGGTAGTCAACATTTGGATCCTTGGAAATTTCCTCGATCCTTTGTATTCCTTGAGCCATACTTCGTATATTTATATATGTCAACTCAACATATGTTTTGGCTTCGATGAGCTGTAGCTCAATCAAAGTGGTAACTCCCAATGTCCCAAAAGACGATGCAGCACCATAGAAAAGGTCCGGATTCACATCTTTGGAAGCCGACACGATCTCGCCGTTTGCAAGAACCATCTCAATCCAATTGACAGTGCGATCAAAGAAACCATACTTGAAAGAGCTACTCTCTCCAGAAGTACCAGCAAAGCCTCCTCCAGTAGTGATACCCGGAAATTCCATAACCACTGGAGGTACCAGGCCATAACGAAGAGTTTCTGCGACGAGGCTATCCATTGGTACATTTGGTTCAACAAGAACCGTTCTTTTCTCGGTATCTACCTTGAGTACCCGATCTAGTTTGCTTGTATCAACCATACGGTCTCTACGACGATTGGAGTCTCGTGTACTGTTGGTTGAACCATGGTATAACCTGAATGCCTCTTTCCGTTTATAAAATTGCTTGACTGACGAGGCAATGATAGAAACTGCTTCCATGTGACGATCCATCTCTTGCTAATGCTGTGAAAAATAAGTTGTGATATCTCACAGGAAGCGATCGAGAGAGGAGTTCTTGATAGGGAGAAGTAAGAACATGCTTTCCGTGGTTACCGACGAACATTGGCCACTAAAAGTGAGCCCCGCCGAGACACACGCTAAATCGAAACATGACATCGCGCCACTGCGCAATGAACTAATGAATTCATTCAAACTGCCAAAATGGCAGTAGATACGCGGGATACGATGCGCGGAAGTGGGGATGTCTAAGTGCGTCGGAATTTTCAGTCGAACTGGCTCATCCGAGCATGGTGAACATTCTAAAAAATAGCCTTTACTTTTTTGATCAATATTAATTGATTGTATCAAAATAAATTGGATTAAGCATGTTCCTCTGTAGAATCTACCTCCTAGTATCGATGGAACTTCAAATCTATAATTTTTGTAGACCCAGTTTTAACATTTACCACAGAAATAATTTTATATCTGGTCGTCACTCCCGGTTTGGCTCGAGGAGGCAATCACCTCTCAAGGGGGGAATACCTGGCGGGATATTTCAAAATAGAAACTCAACATTCATAACAGAAGAGATTATCAGGATTGTCAAGTAATTAAGACCAAAGTATGAGATATATGTGCATCTATCGCCTCATTGCTTCTATCACAAACGGACTCACTAGTGAGCCTATGATTTAGTTTTCCGGAGAGGCTTTGGGAAAATAGTTGTTCATTCAATTACAATTATACACAATCAGATACAAATTTTTGTTTCAAGTCTGTTCTCCTAATCTCTAACCTTCCAGATTATCTCTGATTATCCAATCCCTTGCGAGACTACTTTTCAACAGGCGCAGCTCCACCTGTAGTAGGCAGTCCCATGAAAATCTTGAAGTAATCCTATAATACCGTTAACAAAATCTCCACGGCAGAAGTGAAATGATGAAACTTACATAGATCATCCATTGCAAACCAGTCAGAGTACCAATCATAACAATACGAACAGGAAGACCATTCCAGAGACCACGGAATCCAACATCTCTGTAGATACGTCCAGTAGCAGCACCAAATGCTTCACCAGGAAGTCGGGTTGCGTTTAACTTGGAGACCTAGACGATCGCATATGAGCCAAGAGCTGTGTAGGAATTAAGGGCTAGGAGACTCACCATAACATCAGCAGGATGAGAAACAATTGCACAGAGAATACCAGCCAAGTAACCACCAGTGAACGAAACACCTGTCTGAGCAGCTTTGCCATAGTCTGATTTTCGACCTGGAAGACGATCGTAAATCATTTCTACGATTGTCTCAAAAGATGCGAATTTCATCATAGTATATGGGATTTGTCTTCCCCAGAGAGGATACAAGCCCTTGTACAACCCGGCATAGCCTTCCTTCGCTATGATCTTCGAAAGACCATCTGAAGTACCTTTTGCAAACGGTGGAACGGTGGTTTGCATTCTCACCTTCACGGCCTCGAAAGGACAAAGAGCCACATCCGCAATAAACTCTGCAGATGCGCTGGCGGATAGGTAAAGCCATGTTTTGTACTTGTATGCATTCTCAGGACCGGCGAGGTCGGCGTAGAATTTCTTGAAGTATTCATATCCGCCGTATTTGAAGGCTCCTTGAGCAGAATAACCGAAAAATGTTGGACCCCATCCTGTCATGATGCCACGGAAACCTTCGGCGCGAAAGATTTTACCCCAGGCCTGGAAGTTGCCCGCGTACATCTTGGAATCAACTTGGCGACGACATTTTACTAGATCGAGGGGAGTGACTGTTGTATGGGTGAGACCCTACGGGATGTTAGTTGGGAGTTTGAATGTTTTGGTTACGAGTCCGTTGAGTGATGAATGGAAAGTAAGTTTTGGCAAGGTTTATCTATCGAGCTTTCGATGGGAGAAGACAATTAGGGGTTCGATTACCAGTTCTGTCAGTGCTAAAACTTCCCTTGATTTAGGTGAAGTCTTGATGTGGTGATGAGACAAGTTAAAGATAATCTACTCAATTAAGAGTTTTGATAGATTGGAACGTTTCCGAGTGGTGGTAAAGCAATAAACAAGACGAAGCCTCACTGGTGGATTGATCGCAAGACTCGCAGTTGTCATCCTTGTATTGTAGTAATTGGAATGTTACATCAGGGGAAGTGAAGTAGCTTTAGTTAGGGTAACGGAAGGGGAAACTTTTCCACACGAATTCAGATACTTCGGAATAGGCGTCATGGAGAAAGTTTAAAACTGATAGATAATCTCTTGCAACCAAACTCCCCGAGATCATAAGATAGATTGTACATAGATAACCTTAGAGATAACTCACACAGGCAAGCAATCCACCAAAAGTACACGCCGCATAAAACTTTGGCGAATACAACTCGATTTTGCCAGGTTTAGCTTGAGCAGCCGCACTAGCTTTGTCAAACTCCTTTGTAGCTTCTGCACTCAATGCATTGGCTTTATTTTTCGCATCGTCGACGACCGACCAAGCTGTATAGAGCTCTGAACGAGCTTGAAGTGGGGTGCGACGCTTTGATGCCGCAGTGGTACGTGATTGAATTGATGGTTCGGTTTGGCGACCGTAGGGGTTTGGATAATGAAAAGTACCGTGAAGAGGATTTTGAGAGGGAAAAATTGAAGGCATTGTGAAGAATGAATGAGAGGAGTGATTGCTTAGGAGTGAGGAATGGAAAGAAATGCGATGAGATGCGGTGCTTATTTGTTAAATAAGTCGAGGGAAGTTGGATTGAATGGATAATGCGGGCGGATGAGACAGCTTGACCCGGTTTTGACGCCGAAGCAATAACTTCAGTGACCAATGATATGAGACTGTATACGGTACAAAGTCTAGATGATATCTCATCCCGCGTGCGAGGTTGGCACTGATCAATTCATCGGATGGGAATGGGCAGGATTGTTGCCCGGCTCGATTATGAATGAATGATACAAAACCTTATGTGTGATGATGGATCCTGTCAAACGATTCTCAGGTACAAAGAAGATGGTCGGTGGCAGCTCAATTGCTTTGTACAATGTAGAATGCTATGAGTAACCTCGATCAGTAATAAGTCATCGGTTTCTGATTTGATATCTGAACATTTCTCTGTCTACGAGATGATGAGATAGTAGAGATTCAGTTATTCAGTTAGTGCCTTGTAATACCGGTATGTCCTTCAAAACACGTGACAATGATTAACCTTACACAGGTATAACTCCGGAATTGAAGTTAGTTATTCACAAACGGGGAAAAGCTTCTAGAATGTTTCAATCTGTTCTGAAGACTCAGGTTCAGGCAGGTACAGCCACACGCTGTACCGCTGTACTCCGTAAAGACTTTTATTACTTCCCTAGAGCCTACCACAATTTATAATTTACCCCACCATTTCCTCCCCACCCATAAAATTATTTGTTACTTTGTACTTTGTTGATCTTGAATACCAGTAGTTATACCTCATAAAATAACATCTGCCAAAATGTCTAACATTATACCCAATCAAGCAACGACAACCGCCATCTCAAATCCAGCAGAGATGTCTTCATCGCCCAAACCTGGTCTTTCAAAATTGGCAAATCGTTATAGAGGAGTACGTATATTATAACCTTGCCATCACCAGCTATGACTATGAATGGGCATAAACAAACATGCTAACCAAACCACTCATCTAGGCCACAGTCGAAGATCTCGACCCTCCATCTGCGCTCTCCTGTAACCCTACCGATCCCATCTCATATGCTCTTATGAGCGCCTTCGAACGCGATTACACACACCTCACTGTCGTAACCCCCGACACCCGCGCTCTCCTAGGCTACCTCTCCATCCCTCATCTACGCATCTTGCTCGAGACAGGAAAAGTGCAAGAATCAGATGAGGTAGCCAAAGCCATGGTAAAGTTCAGGAGGAAGGGAAAGGTTTACAGAGTTATTACCATGGATACGCCGTTGGAAGATTTAGAGCTATTTTTCAGTGGGGGAGAGAATGGTGAGGGGGGCAAACAGGAATTTGCCGTTGTGACGGATGAGAGGAGAAGATTTGTGTTGGGAGTTGCGACGAAAACAGATTTGGAGGAGTTTGCGAGGAGGAGACCTGCTTGAGAAAATTATGCATATGATGAGAATGGATTGGGAAAATGGAGTTTGGGATATCAAAGAGTGCGGGTTTAGAATGCATAGCGTGGACCAAAATTTAGGGGTACTATCGAATGCTGCATTTTGCCAATTTTATGTTTATGTTTGACTATTTGCAAAGCACTTTACCTACTCGCCGTTCCTCCTTGGAATCATCGTGATGAGTTCCGAGTGTGGATAGTGTTCACGCAAAGTCATCATGTTCTCTAGAAATGTAAGATACCAATATGGCAAAGTCTGCTACATCATCGTTATTCAAGGTAGACTTACAAACTATAGGTCATTCATCCGCGACTACAGACGATCATGAAAGCTATGCAAAATTATACCAATCAAGGATTTTGTAGAAATTCGCCACATATTGTACTCGAATATCATCCTTGACCCCATAACGTATAAATCTAACAGTCAACAAAGAGCGTACCTCCAAATTTAGTATTAGTACAGCAGAATTGCATCATGCAACATGATAGCACCTCAACTTCCACACATGGATTTTCGGGTTCATGTACTATCATTCTACCACCTTCTCGATTCCTCTAATCTCTATCTCATAACCATCACCACCATCTTATACATGAATCATCGCACACCGAAAAGCTTCACATCAGTGCTGGTTACTTGTTAGTAAAACATTCTTCATTTCCTCTACAAGGGACATCACTTACAAAACCTCCCCATGGATAATAGTATACGCATTTGTCATGCCATGAGACATGGCTATAGAATTCTGCCCCCAATTTTGAGGTTTCACTCGGTTCTTGACGACGATGTAATAAAAACGAGATCGGATTCTAAGGTTACTGTTTTCTGAGAAGTTTATTAGGAATATGGGGAAATCTGCTGTGTATTCTCCAGATTCACAGGATTGTTAAGTTTGAGGAGCTTTTTTTTCTAATGATACAATAATAGGGAAACAAGCATAGAGCTTGGTGTAAAGCCAATTGAGAGGGGGAGTAGATGGGTGCTGGGCTAAATGCATGTATAGGATGGTGGAAGAAGACCGATGCATCGTGGACGTCGATCAAGGAGTAAATTGGGCGTAGGAGTAAATTGGGGGTGGGAGTAAAGAATTTCAAGGCGATGAGATGACAAATTTAAAGAACGGAGCGAGAGAATTTGGAGATGTTGAATAGAATAGAGGGAGAAAGAGATGAGATGTTGGAGACGATGATTTGCACGATATAAATGATAATGAAATAATAACATATTGACTCTCGAGTTAAACCTACATCTAGCTACTTCTCCCATGTGGGCAAGCAAATCGTTCTAGCCAATGTGTTCCTCTAACTTTGGTGTTGAGGTGTCCGCCATTTCATCACCACATTATTTCAAAACACCACTTGAAAGTCGAAGAAGTCGAAGAACCGATATCCTGCTTGAGCTCGACAATTGTGTACCCAATAAACGACATATAATTCCCATTGCTCAACGTGACAAGCCACCTACATATATACATCACACAATCTATCCGTCGATACGACCTCGACCCTACGTATAAACGTAACTGATAGCAAGAAGAGCACAGTCGTCTTCAGTTCGTGGAAGATCAATATCAGCATCACGGGATATATTAGCACAGAGAAGATTGCAAAGAAGCTTTAGCGTTCATCTCGACAACATAGTAAGCGACTTTATGTGGGAAACCGTCAATGGCATTAGAAAACTCATGGAGTTATTCATTTTTACAGCGAGCATTTCATCGGGTACATTCGGTACCAATCGCTGAGGGGACCAATGACAGCACTGGGGTACAACACACGAGACTACAATATAACCATTTCAACCTTATATTTGTGCGCGACATGCACCTCATCAATGATATCCTCTTCGGTTTCTGCAAGTGTCGGCAGGTTCGCAACTGAATGGTCAGTGGGTTGAAATTCTCTTTAAGAACAAGTTGACAGTAAAGCAGCAAGTGAACTCGACATTACGCGCAAGCGATGTCTATTATTTGATTTCATATGCCACGATTACTAACTTATGGGTAATCACTAACTGCTCCTTGACATTGTAGAAAAAGGACAAGTATGCTAGTAACCATCAAATGCTTCCTCCCACATGATATTATACCACGGCACGGCACTAGGACATATACCCCTTCACTGGCCCGCAGGTAGACCTTTCGAGTAACGGTAGACACAAACAGGTTGTAAAGTTGATCTCCTGGGCAATCCGACATGTGAAATCACTGTAAATATGCAAGCTACTCTATTAGAGTGATATCGAAGGCTTGTATTTGCCGGTGGGATGATTGACGTCAACGTTGATGCTATGCTTACTGTTCTACTGCCTAACTTTTCTGGGTCGTGCAGTGAGAGTTCTAAGGCACCATTAGTCAGGAATCTTGGATCATACATTCGTCAAGGAGTAGATTTGCATCGTGAAACTTGAAGGCGAACAATTTGCGCTAGCGGGTGACCCCATGTGCGATTTAACTTGTTCAAAACGTCAGCTTTCATTCAATAACCTCTCTATCTTGGTTATTTATTGAACATGATAGCTTGCCGAGTATCCTACCAAACTAATCGAATTTATTGCAAATCGTATGTCTTCAGAGATTTGGCGTGAAGAAACAAGCTTCAAACGCAAAGTAGTTGTATTTTAGAGTAGAACTCTCTTCATACACTACAGAATTTCAAGGAAAAGCAACTCGGGATTTTATTCCCAATAAAGTTACCATGACAAGCGCAGGATATCGAGATCCACGTGAACATAAAACATGACCGATGATTTTCAAAGTCAAAGTCCCAAGGGGGTTCAAAGGCCCACTTGTTATTACCACCTTCTCGGACGACATCCGTGAGGCGGAAGGTAAGGCGAAGGGGATGATAGAGTGGGCTAGAGGCGAGACAAGTCAGTGAAATGAGCAAGCTTATCGCGAGACCGCAGAGTGAAGCGTTCAATCTTCCCATCAAGCACAAAGAGTGTGGACAGAGAGATGGGTTGCTAGAATTCCCAGTCGATAGCGTCCATACAAATGGACCGCTCTTCAGCATGTGAAAACAAAAAAGGCCAGAGGAAATGATGAATTCAAGACTGTCCAACTGCTTTAAAAATCCGAGTAGGAATTACACGTTCTCAACCCTTGTTTTTGGTCTCTTGTAAACTTGCATCTTGTATCCAATTCCTGATGAGCGATGAACGGCCGCGGTGAGGTTTGGAAATCGCTAGTCTAATATCAGAATCAGTAGAACAGCATTCAAAAGTGCTATTGAAACATGCTTTGGCTTGCAGAAAAGATGGTTCACTCGAACATCCAAATAAGACATAATTTCACGACCAAAAGCACCACCTTCACATGCAAAACATTTTATTGAAAAATTCATTAGTTTTGTGCAATAGCCGTTGAATTCATGAGAGTACACCTATGCAGTTTTTTTGAACCGCTCTTGTAGCCCACATCCATCCATCGCACCCCGCAAGAATATAAAACAGACCCATGAACCATTCATGCCATTTATTTCTTGGCAGCAGCGGCCTCATCAGCAGCGTCCTTTGCTCTCTTCTCACGCTTTCCGGCCAATCTAGCATCACTTCTTGCGTCGCGCAACTTTCTGTATGCACCTCCCTCAATTGGTTTTGGCATATCGCTCTTGCTGATCTCTGAGAATCCACCCTCAACAGTGGAGATTGGGAGAGCGTTCTTGACACGGCTGCTGGTCTCCTTGAGAGCAGCGACTTCCTCCTTGGTGGAGTCACCCTTCTTGGGTTTACCAAGTTTGCGTGGGAAGAGGATAAGGCGGGCACGGAAGGACTTGAGACGGTCGACGTTGGCCTTGAGGGATTCGACGGAGAGGTTTTGACGGCGGGCATCAACGGAGATACCGATGGTTGGGGCGAGCTTGCGAGGGATTTGTGCCTCCTATACTAACATCAGAAAACTATTCCCACGGAACTGAAAATTCCCAATCTAGCTCACCTTCAACTCGGCGAGGGTGAAACCACGGCCAGCTCGTACACGTCTGTTGTACTTGATGGTTGGGCATCTGACAACAGGTCTCAGCAAGTCGATTGGGCGTGGGGCGACAGCTGCAGTCTTTGCGAGACGAGCATTGCGGCGTCTGAGTTTTCGGCCAGGCTATTTATATTGTTAGATTCGATTCCAGAGATTTTTGCAGTCCGTTTGCGCGTTGTTTACCTGGTCGAAGTGAACTCTAACTCGTCTTTGCCAATCCTTTCGGAAATCTATCCATAATCAGCATCTTTGTAATTGTCCTAATTAATCTGCAACGAGGACATACGGTTGTGGGCAATTTGCTGGTTGTGCTTGATCGCCATTTTGTCGGATTGCAATCAAGTTGTCGTTGGTCGTCGTCTTCAAAAATTCGAGATGTCGGAATCGCAGTATTGGACTTGCTGGGTTCGAAAAATTTAGGGCAAACAATCCCACAACCGAATTTTCCAAAATTAGTGTAACACGTGATGCAAACTTTTTCTCATCAATCCTTGTTCGGCCCTCTTTTGTTCATCATCGCTCTTCACACCCTCAATCCTCTCAAACAATAATACAGTACAATGAAATAAGTCCCTCCGTCAAACTATATCATGAGAGAGAAACTTCATTATCATTACTATTGGACATTCCTCGATGTTGGATGAGGTACTTATTATCATGGCGATGGTAAATATCAGTCCGTTTTGTTATACGGTTTACAGAGTTTATAATTTTAGTCATATCTACTCAATATTTTCATCAGTTTAACAATGCGCGTCATACTGGTGTACTCCTGAAAGGGTCGTCAAACATGGTGGTTGATATATCATGAACAGGCGTTATGTTATGCATTCGCATACATGACAATTTGCTTTCCTAAATGGCTCTCAATCGTGGTAGTTGATATCATGATAGCGTCCACACACTCCCAGAATGGCAGCATATCCAAAGAGTGTAAAGTTATAAAGTTCTTTTTTATTCATCAACTATTTTGTAGTATGATAATTCGTGCCATACATATCTCATTACTACCGTAAAACGTTTCCGTAAAATTGCACCTAGCAACCGAAAGCAAGACAAGCAAGTGTCTCAAGTCTCAAGAAAAAAGGTAGGCCAGAAGAAATGACCACGAGTCCCGTCCGCCCATTTTTTATGCAAAGGCATATCTCATTTGCCCTCGAAACCGCTGAACCAATCCAACGCCAAAGCACCTTTTTAATGATCAAATACAAAAAGCCCATTTTGGAAGTTCTTCAGTGAACCAAGGCTACTTGCTTTCAGTATTTGTGAAACCGACCCAAGTCCTTCTCAAACATGGAACTTCTTCGTTGCGATAGTCATCAAACGGAAGGACCGCCTCTTTCCAGCCAACGGCATTCCATTGACGTCCTTTCTTGATTCGCTCCTCATCAGGTATTTTACTAGCGAGAGCTTTCTTTCTTCTCTTCTCACGCTCCTCGATGACGGGATACATGATCTTTCGTCGAAGTAAATGGGTTGCATGGCCGTGAATAACACCGATATTTCCAGTTTCTAATACATGCTTCAAGAGACCGAAAGGCAAGTTGAGTAATAACCTTGACAGCGTAAGAGTAATAGAATCCGAGGAAGGGGAGCGAAGGCTCTCTTCTGTAGGGTGGTCGCCGAACTTAATAGAGCTCAATCGTGAGTTTGTGGGTAGGTGATCAGGTACATGTGGGATTCTAGAGTTAAAATGAATCTCCGAGACTGTCGTATCCAATTCGAAGTTAGGAGGGAAGGACAGAATGATGAAGTTGATTATATTGGAAATGATGACGTTGGCGCATGGAGTATAAGTACTTCTGCCGACTATATCATTGGCATCTGAATTTCCTGAGTTCCACGATCCGTCAATACCTCCTTCAAGAGCAAATTCAAGAGCCTTTTCGGCTGTGTCCCAGGTAATGAGTTGGCTAGCAATGGTGCAACCAGTCTTCCAAATTTGAGGAATTTGAAGAACAACCCCTGATGCTATATAGCCAAGCGTGAAGTCGAAACGTTCAACTGGGGTTAATGGCATGGGAGCTGATCCAATGTACGGGGTCGGATAGCGGGCCATTGCATCTAAGTCCAAGATAGGTCCACCATATAGATATCGAATCGCCAATGAAAATGCATCAGATCGCAAGTAACAATCATCTGACTCAATCAAAATGTTCTGGATAGGTAGAGGTGAATCACAATTTGCGCTAGCTCTAGATGTAATGAGACCTTTCAAAACGAAACTGCGAGCTAGGATCAGTCTGTGGCCACTGATTCGAAGAGGAGCTGCTCGGTCATCAGAGTAGCGTAGCTCAAGAACGCAATCAGAAAATTCTGGTTGTGCGAATTGCTCACGGAGGTGGAACCAAAGATCTCGGCGGTTGCCGCCTGCCCACGGAATTTCTTCTTTGCGCGGATAGCCGACGACGCCACGATAGGGTGGTGGCCCCATTGGTGGAAGTGGAGATGGATGATGTCCATAATGAGGGCCCAACCCGTTCTCCTGGTCCTGTATCGATGTTCGAAATCCATGGATGTTGTGCTTAGCGGCTGGATCAAAGCCGTTGAACCGAGGACTCTCAACAATCTGGGGAGCACCAGTTAGGGAGTAACCTTCTTGTGGGACAAATGGTTGCATTTGTTTACGAAGGAAGTCATCAGGTGGAGGGACCTGGAAGCCGTCTTGGGGGTGGTAGTATCCTGGAGGGAATGCTGGAGTCATCGGTGAAAACCCATTCGACATGTGGTGTTGATGGCCACCGTTTGAGAGATGAGGACCATGTCGCGCACCACCTTGCTGTGCGTAAGCATAAGGTGGAATATTGCCAGCGCTCGAGGGGGGAGCTGGTGACGAATTATTGGAATCAGGATATCCGCTAAAGATTGGGTTTGAAACGCTGGGATGAGCGTGGTGCATTGGATGTTGACCATTGAACGCAACCTGCTGCGGGAACTGTGCAGATTCGGAGGACATTGTGGATTGATTGCTGGCTGGCACAAAGGGTGGAGGCAATTGATATGTTGATCTCGATGTGGTAGATTGGGTTTCGGATGGAGTAGAGTGCTTTTCCTCTTGAGAATTGTCTGCTGCAGAAAAGAAAAGATTTAGCGACAAGGACAATATTTTGGATTGGCAGAAATGGCGAGGCTGAATGTGAATTCTCAAATCTCACCTTTTGCTTCATTCACTTTGACCAAATTTTCCTCGCCCTCTCGTTCAGTACAACTTCGCTCAGTAGAACCACGACCAGTAGAACCAGAACCAATCGTAACACCGCACTCAGTAGAGCTAAATCCATCCAGCGATTCAGAGGTGGACGGTGTATCGGCCACTGCTGCGGGAGCAGGCTTGGGAGATTCGTTTATCGCCTCCAAAGCTTTGTCTTTTGGAAGAGGCTCATCGATATGCGCGGAAGGTGTGTCAATAGTTGAAGTCGATGTAACGGGTACTTGGACTGCTGGGGCCGTCGAGAATGGGGTTCGGACTTCCTTCGCCTTTTCTCGAGTAGGTAGTTTCTTTTGCTGTGGCTTACCATAGGAAAGAGGCAGAGCAGGAACAATGCCTCTCGGAACCGCAGCTGCAGGCCTTGGACGATTCTGCATGACTTTTGACGCGCCGTTTGCTGGTGCCATGTTCGTAATATTCATTCAGTCGCAACAAGCTTTTCTACTTGGGCTTGAATTCACGACTGACGTCCCCAAGATTCAACAATGACCTCAAGCTGGTCATGTAGCATCTGGGGAGTCTTTCGTTGCTTGATGAAGCTTTTAAAGTGAGCGCAAGTGAAAGGACTTGCAGTTTGAAAAGAAGCTCAAGACACTGATTAAAGGTAACCAATTCTGCGGGGTGCGAAATAAATTTGTTTAAGCCTGGGAGCCTGATCTAGAATGGGCTCTAACGTCTTTGAAAATAGTGTGGGTGTGAAAGGAGCTTGTACCTGTTTTCTCCGACGGACTTAAGAGGAAGCTACGAGTGGAACAAACTCTAGAGATTGGTATGCTATCAAAATTGGACTTTAATCACAAACACAAACCATCAGTGAAAGGTCTTTGATTTGATATACCTCACATTATACAATGAAATAATGCTGGCCTAGTTATACCCACACTTTCTTACTCATATATACAATACTATTCAGGAGCAAATATGGTATACTATAGTAGACTCTACCTACCTACCTACATACAGACATTTCTCACATATTCCTTCTTCAGCAAAGAAGGTACTGTTTTGCTATTCGAATCCAAGATATTCACCGAAAAAGTTCTCTCACACACAATAACGCATCATGATATAAGATATGGAATGTTTTGAGATAGTTCTCCCCGACATACTGCAGGAGTCTTCTTCAGTATGATATGGAATTCACGACGCCCTCCATGAATGTTGAAATGTTGGTGTAGCATCACTGTTGTACTGGCAAGCAATTTCAACTCTAGCTCACTCTGTGGGAAGTGATCTATTGAACAGGACAACATGTCAGACGGAATCTCCCGCTATCAGCTGAAGATTGAGAAACTACTTGGCGCAAATCGGGGGCATCTTCTCTGAAATATATTCACTATTTTGGCACATCCCAGGTATTAATGAGAAGAGAGATTGGGATTGCTAGCTACAATACCCAACATCACCATTGTTACGAATTGTATTTCTTTGGAAATGCAAACGACTACCTACGATTCGAAAATGTCGATCTCGTTTTTTTAGATTCAGACTTGGACTAATGTCCGATGAGACTTATATTCGCTCAGTGTTGGTCACAGCAGTGAGGTTGGTAGCCTATTGAATATTGCGCAATATCTACCTTGCTGGACAGATAATTAGTGAATTTGGACAAGTTTCACACCTATATAGTTGACTTTTCGCGCCAGATAATTCCTCTCCTCTTTCCGACAACAAAACAGTTTCCCCTCACCAACCCCAATCTCAACTCCATCACAGCATCACCGTGCTTCCCATACCACAATTGCAGTCACTATGACGATGGAAGTCAAAGAAGAAAACTCCATCATGTTAAGAGCTGAAGAAGGAAACTAAGCCGCGGCGGGAGTTCGAGCAGAAGATGGTGAAAATATCTAGGAAGCTAGGTACTCGAACGCGCGGTTCAGCAAAAACATGACCGTAAGTGCTATCTTCTAATTCATTATAGCTCATAACAATACGATCAAAACTCCATACTAACACCACACACAGCGCGACGAGCTGTTGGAGAGTTTGAAGCAGTTAACTGGGCCAGGAGCAGAGGATGAGAAAAAGCGAAGAGTAATTAAGTGGACCCAGACCGAGAAGGGTAGGAGACAAGCTGCCGAAGCCCAAGCTCGTAATAGGGAGAAAAGGGAGAAGAAGATTGAGAAAATTAAAGAGATCCAGATGCAGAGGGAAATTAAGATAGCAAGAGATGCACAGAGGGCGGGACGTAGGGGAATAGCCGAGGCAAAACTTAGTTGGGACGCAGAACATCCGGAAGAGGTAGCAAAGAGGCGAGAGGATAATAAAGGAGCGAGGAAGCGAGCAGCCAAGAAAGCAAAGAAGAGACTCATGGCAGAGTCCCAAATTGCTAGGGAGCTGGTAAGTTTAATCTATGACATTCCTCATTGATGCCTGTGAGATGGATGTGCTGATTACATACATGTATAGGGGTTGCTGACTACAGCAGACAGAAACATTGCGGAGTCGGGAGCTACTCGTAGTGTGGGGGAGGGAGTTGTCGAGACTGACGCTATGAACGATGCAGAAGAGATGGCTGATGACGATGCTGATGTCAACACGATGAAGGGTTTGAGGTATTCTGAGAGCTCGACATTCAGTCTGCCTATCAGGGGAAGACAGGCTACTTGTATTTCCAATGAAGAGGTAGAGCAATTCTTTTTGCATAAACATTCGAGACCGAATTTGAAGAAATGATGAGATTTTACTATATAATATCTCTGTGACACTAAAGCTGCGTATATGTTTATAATTTCTCTGTCTTGTATTCGTTTCTAGGCCTTGAAATTTCCAAGAGTATGTAAAATTCTATCATTGAAGAAGCTTTTGTTGCGAATCCGGTAAATAATACGATCTCGTTCACACAAGATCACGTAACACTGGGACATTTTATACAAAATGGCATGCAAATCCACACTTTTGTTGCATATCCCATTATCCTACATGCTATCGATAGTAAAATTTTACAAGAGCATGTCAAATCATGAAATAGCGTCCTGGAATACGATGCACAAATGAATGGTATCATCCCATTGTTTCGAGAAATCATTAAGAATCTTTCACTATATTCTTGTGTACATTGGTCGATTAGTCAATAGAGTACTTATTCGTACCCGCCATTGTCAAGTTTTGTACGGCTTGGATTATCTACTTAATTGAGGTACAAGCTGAAATAATCGAACAGTGATTGGTATATAACTATTAAACTTCGACTCAGATTGACCATGGAGAGAAATCTCCAGGTTTTCCCCATATGCTCCAGATATCCTCTACTATTTGTAAAAATGAGATACCTATCATTACATACAAAACACCTAATCACCCGAATCAAGACACCTACCTACCCTCTTACATTTCACCTACATAAGTTATATACATATATACATACATACATATATACATATATACATACATACATACATACATACATACATACATACATACATACATACATACATACATACACCAATAATAAATCTCAAGCACCAGCTCTCTCATGCATACAGTCGAGGCAGTCTAGAGATAAGCCCTCCGCCTCTCCAAAACAATGAAATACAATAACATAACACCTCACACACCGACATGCAACAAAACAGTCCCTCGCATCTTTGTTCACTTATTTCTCTATCTCATTGGCCCATTGCACATGCAATCGACTGTTGCTCTTCTGAATGAGGGATGGACGACTCCTGAATAGGCGAGTCCGTAGTGGGATTGTGCTTATCTTTGATATTACATAGCACATCATGGTGCGAGATAAGGATCGGGGAAGAGTGGAGCTATGGTTGATGACTAGGTAGTAAGCTCGAATACAAGTACTTCGTTAAGTACATGACTACGAGTACATGACTAATAACTGTTGGATACTCGAGCACCTAGGCATGTGTTCATACATTTGAGCTGGTACTCCGTGCTAGAGGATACTTAGGTAGTACTCCGTCAACGCGGGTAAGGGTAGGTATTGGATATGTGAAGGTAGAAAGACAATGGTTCCTGCACTTTGGTAGGTAGGTACTAGGTAGGCACTTAACTCGATCTTGTCGATGCTGCAGGAGAGAAATCAAGAAATAGATTACATCATAGGGTTTTAGGTTTAGATACTCCGTTCATACATTTGTTATCCATGTTTGGTTGATGAAAGGACAGAAAGCTAATCAAGGAGCGGAAACGGGGAAGACCTAAATAGGAGCTTAATTAAAGCACGTGTAGCAAGCCGTGAGGATTTGCAGTTTATTGAATGAAGATTGAATGAAGTTTCGTTTTTCACTCGACTTGTTTTTGTTCACATCTTCAAAATTTCTGGCGCAAATATTACTGCAGTTATTTATGGTAGTTTCAAAGTAAGTGATGTTAATCTTAACCTCATGTCAAATCTCTCCTCAAACCGTGAAAGAGAACGAAGGAACTTTCATTGATGGCGGGGTGAGGTTTGTGATATGACCGATTGCGGGGTGTGAAGTGGGCTGAGACGAGACCAAGGATCCCTTTGCGCAATATTTATATAGCTCGGGATTCCCATTTCTTTGATCGCATAGGACAATACTTACTTATTTCTTGAGCGCAGACTCTCATATTCAAAGGAACATAATCGCAAGAATAAATTAAAACTTCATTACAATGGCCGAGCCTGAAGTTAGTCACGGTCGCGGAGGTATGTATTGCTTGAATGACTTCATAAAAGGGAAATTCTAACGTCATAGCAGGTGCTGGAAATATTGGAGCCGATTCCACTCAGTATGCCACTCCATTCTCCTATCACGAATATTTGAGCATTCGCAATCCAATATAAGGCGGAAATTTTTCGACAAATAAACTAATGGGCGCAATAGATATGTTGATGGCGAAATCGTCCGTCAAGGACCAGCAGGAGATCACGGCGATGGAGCATTCAGCGTCGGTCGCGGTGGAGCTGCAAACATCGGTTCGCCTGGTCTCCCAGCTACCAAACGGAGCGACGTGGATAGTATCCCAGATGCTGCATTGCGGCCTAGCACCGATGGCGAGGTTGTGCATTTTGGACGAGGTGGAGAGGGCAATGTGGTTAACACGACCAAGCCGGGCTTACAACATCCGGTTGGATTGGCGGACAAGTTGAAGAATAAGTTGTTCAAGAAGAAGGCGCATACGACTGAGAAATGAGTGGTTGAAGAAGAGGATGTTCTCTGAGATGGGCAGAATGGGTCTTGGCCCATCTTGACCTGGGATTTTCAAGATTCTTCGCCGGTTAGATTTGAGGGGACTTCACTAATAATTTTCGAAGTTGGGGAGAGGAGTTTTGATATTCTTCTGGGAGGATAAAATGATACCCGAGTAATGATTGACTTGTGGGATTAGATTGAGTATTTTGATTTGTTTGTCTTTTGACATTCGTTGTTTGTTTAAGAAAGAAAGTATTCCAATGATATATTTTGGCTTTCACTACCTACCGCGGGACTATGAAGCAAACTGCTCTTGATCACTCGCACCGTCAGTTTGTGACTCAACCAAGTAAGCTTCTGATATTGGCAATATCATACATGGTATATATATATACTAGGTAGTTGAGCGATAGGAGAGAAGTTTCCATGATTCATGAATATGGATTTGATAGCTCTGGTACGATATACGTAGACACAGCAGGGACCTCGAGGCACATATAGGTAATGTTGTAAAAGCTACGAGTATCATTGCTCTATTTACATTGATTCCGCTGTGAATTGTTGATCGACCAATTGAAAAAGCAAATCTAGCAAAAATCAGCCAATGAAATCTATGAGATCTAATGTAAATTTTGACTGGCCAATGAAATGTGCTGATCAGAGCTTTTTTAATTTTTGTGCGACGGCTTTATTTACACTTTGCACTTTGATACTATAAACACTAGAGAATTTATCAATTTGTTTTGCTTGAAACTTTGAACCAAATACTGCGTGGTGTATCTTTTACCTTGACTACAGTTTACCATAGGGGGAGCAAGATCTTGATCGCGTATACTCTTGATTCATTCCGAAGTACCTCGAAAGATAGCTATTTATCTTTGGAAAGCTTTCGTATCCTCCGCAACTACCTACGTCGACATCTGAAAAGTCTCCTCGGTCAATTATTTACATTTACTTCTACTTTGGATAAATATCATAACATTTACCAATCTACTTCTGCACCAAACCTTCTTATAAAATCCGAATCTGCTTCGCGATCAACTTGCACATCAACTTCACGTCCCCGCGCACGCGATTTTCAACAATACTCGATACTCACAGATTCAGTTCTCGCAGCTCCATCCCGCTATTCATCATGGCGCCAAAACATGGCCTGAATGGCTCGACTTCATCTTCGAATAAACGAATGAAGACAGAGTCTTCCGAGCCACGCACTATGTCCTCTCCTGCCGCTGTACAAGAAGCGACATCCTTCGAGATTAAGATACCGCTTATGAAATCGGATAAAAAAGGAAAGGAGTCAAAACAAAATGCGGAACTGAGATCACTAGCAGAGGAGCATATATCACCATTTCAAGGCTTCAATGCGCCGGAGGACGAACTCAATTACCATTATACTGTTGTGCCAAACGCAGAGTGGACGGCCATGAGGAAATACAACAACTTTATAAGTAAGTGTAGTTCAACCATTAGCTACTGGCATCCTCTAATTCTAAACAGTTCAAGGAGACACATATAAAAACAATCAATTCGTTTATGTGAAGGGCAAGACAGAAGCAGGCACACAACCAAAGGACTTCTGGATAGCAAGAATATTACAGGTTAGAGCTAAAGATCCGCAACATGTCTACGCCTTGGTAAATATTATATTCTTTTGGAAAAGACTTTGGACTGATTGGTTTTAGGTTGCCTGGATGTATTGGCCGGAAGAATTACCAGCAACAGCCAAAGCTACGGGCGAGACATCCGCAAGTTCGGGACGGAGGAAATACCACGGAAATTCGGAGCTTATTGCGAGCAATTATCTAGATGTTGTAGATGTATTGACCTTCGCGGGAAAGATAGATGTTGAACGTTTTTCTGAGGATCTTGATGATCATGCAGTATCTGATCCGGATCCTAGCAAGTTTTACTGGCGGCAGACATTCTGTCAAGCCACCCAAAGACTTTCGGTGAGTTTTATCTCTGTACCTCAGACATAGTGGAACTAATTCTTTTCCTCTAGGACTTGCCCGTCTATTGTATTTGCGATGGTCACTACAATCCCGATAAACGCGAGTATGAACATATTTGTGATAATTCAGATTGCCAAACTCTATATCATTCGGGGTGTTTGGTAGAAGACGCCCTCATCAAGCGATATCACGAGGAGTACCCTCACAATGGGACGGCAACCAATGGAACAAAACCCAAAGATAAGAAGCACAAGAATGGGAAGTCGAAACAGAAGATATACTCTAAAGAATTCAAAGGAGAATTCGCACATGATCAGGATGAGCAGACCCCACCAATGATCAGAATTACGGACAAGAGATCAACACCTCATACGGTGACATTGCAACGGGTTGCATGTCCAAAGTGTTCTACTCTTTTTGAGTGAACTTTTGTTCTTCGAGTTTATGTTTCTATGTCACTAGTATCACAACTCGATTTCAATGCGAACTTTTACGATTCACGGCCACGCATACAATACAATCTAGAATGATCTCTCAAGATCACACTTATCGTGGAAGCAGTTTCGACTCGCATCTGCATCGCCCTTCCACAATCTAACACATA